TAAGCAGTTTAAGTTAAGTTATACTCTATATTGCAGAGTATGGGCTGGAAGGAAACTCCTTCAAAGGTGGAGGAGAATGAGTGTGTGAAGATCCTGTAGGACTTCCAGATACAGATTGAATGGTAATGGCAAAACAACCAGACATTGTGGAGGTAGGTACAAAGGGCATGAAAAGCGTGAGAAATACCAAGGATTTTGTTGTATATATTTAATATTGTATTCCATTTGACACTCAGATTACAATCTGATATTTGATCATGCACTTTCGGCAAGACATGACACAACCATGAAAACTTATTTTAATTCGGTGTCTGTTTTAGTGGAGTAGGGATTCGCCATGGATCTATTGGGATTTGCACATCAAAACCTAAAGATCGGGTGCGTAGGAGGAGAGGCCTGGATGGCCTTATGTGATAGAGAGAAGGAATCCCGCACACCGTCTTACTTGCAAATTAGAATTTATTTGGAGTGCGACGTTTCGGCGTTAGGCCTTCATCAAGCAAGCTGTTTCAGTGACATATGCAAATATGAATGCAGAAAAATCCAGAAAATGGAACGTGGAAAATAATTCAGACTGTAGTATTCCAATTGGACCAGGTGTATTTTCTCCCAGAATACATTTTCAAATCATTCTCCCAATAATGGTGATAGATATCATTTTCTAATTATTGCAAATTTACTTTATTTAATTTATTGATGATAAGAGCACATTGCTGTCACTGCCAGCCACATAATTACATTGTTTTACTGTATGTTATTGTGATTTCCTGGGTGGTCCGCTGTGCATTTCCTCTTTTTGGCATTTTCATTAAGAAGCACTAATTTAGCAGCCATTTTATGCAGCTGTTCCATTTTTAATTTGATAACTTTGATAAATGGCACTCATTGTTAAACTAGAAAAACCTGTCTTTCTTCAAAGCTAAAACAAGCCTGTACCAAGTCAAGTCTTATGGATTGTGCACAGAAATAAAATTTGACCCTTGTATTCAGCTCCTGATCTGTGTGTTGCTTTTAGGCTTTATTCCACTCAGCCAGTCTGAGTGTTAGTAGGATTTTCTTCTACTGTTTCACTGTGACCCAGGTTAGATGGAGTTCCGCTCGATAAATCCATGAGATAGTGTGTATACATTTGTTGGATCTCGTGCAATGTATTTAGTTATTTGTTTTGGATATGTACTTATATATTGTTGTTAAGCCTGGCTTGATAAGAATTATAAATATATAATAATAATTATCATTATATTATGATCATTATTATTATTATTATTACTGTGGAGTAAAATGTGATGCAAAAGTAGTATCTTACAATGAACAGACCTTTGTATATGGAACGTATTTAGGAGTTGAAAGATTTAAGAATGGTATTCAATCCCTGCTTATAGCACCGATATTTAGACACATTTGAGTCTGTGTGAACTCCAGGCTGAAAGGAAATCTGTGTTTTCCACAAACCTATAGTGAAAGAAAGGATAGGGCCAGAAAGTTCATTCACACTATAGTATTATTTAATCTTTTGATTATATATTTACTTGACACTGTTTTATATGTTTGATGAGTAAAGGAATACTGAAGCGTCTTGTGAACTGTTGGCAGCTGTTTGAATAATACATCATGTTTTGTCTGTTGTATTCTTTTAGCCTTGAGAGTAAATGGACTCTCAGTGTGGCATTGTCCATTCCTCCGCTCTAGAGCTTTCTTTAATGGGTTAGGTTTAATAGGGCTTGTCAGAAAAATCCTTATACTAGACTCGAGCCTTTGGAGTGTAGAAGTTGGTGTGTAAAAGTATGTGCTTGACATACATGGTCAAAGTTGCTCTTTAAATCAAGTGGGAGATTCACAAAGGGCGTTCTTACAATCTCGGGGATAAACTCAAGTGTTTACTTGTTTGTAAACAAAACCACACTGCTTTTTTTGAACACATCTTAAGATGGCATTAGTTCGATACATTTGAGAAGAAATATATACAGTACCTCAACAGATTCAAAATATGCTTGTAGGTAACCATCTTCTCTAAAATGTTATTTTACAATAATGTGTAGAATGTATTTGTATACATTACCTTTGGTTGTTTTGGATTATTATCCAATAAAAAAATATTATCCTCTTATTTGTGCTCAGTTTTTTACAATTAAGAATAAATTATCACTATTATTGTTATCATAAAAAACACATTTCGTATTGATATATGATCAAAGTTAGATGCAATTGATGAAATAAAAAATCTTCATATAGCCCCTTGATGGAATGCGGGCTATAATCATAATTAAAAATGTTCAAGACCAGTATAATATGAGCAGCAATATGACAACTATGCTTTCTGTGTGAATGTGTCAGAGACTTGAACTGTGAAAGAAGAGCTTTTCCGCATTGATTCTGTGGGCCACTGTGAATAATTGGAAGTCATTTTGAAAAAGGAACCAAGTATAAAATGATGACAGAAGAATACATCTTCTCTTTATGTTCCTGATATCTTGGTACCAAATTGACATTTTCTTTACACTGCCTTGCCTACAAATATTGAATTACCATAATTGTCATTGAGTGTTAGAAGGATGACACAACTATATATGTGGCCAATTTGCAATGTATGACAGCACAACCCCGTCTTTCTTGACCTTGAGCTGAAAGAAGCCCTCTAGAATTGCAAACACCCAATTAAATGACACGTGTATAATGCAAATGTTGGGTTAAAACTTGCAGAGGCATATTTAAGTTTATTTGCATGACAATTTTGATAAGAAAAAATGGTATCCATCTTTGTGCATGTTATTAGTTCATGATATGTGCAAATATAATGTCCAAAGTGGCAGTGTTATGGAAGTACATACTGTATATGCACAGTAACAGTGCTGTATTTGTTTTTCCAGAGATGTTCTGGTACATGAATACATCTGCTTAAATTTGCCCCCTTTTTAACGTTTGAGTTGTGTGTTTTTCGAATCTGCTATTTGTAAACCATTTGGATATAAAATAAGTTTTAGATTTCACCGTAGAATTGACATGAATTTTTTTTTTGACAAACTAAAACAGGAATTAAAATGCATTTTCAGATACATTACTAAGATCTACTGTATGGTTTTAACTCTTTCCATTATTACAGTAAAAAACATTGTGTAAAGTAAATGTAAAATAAGACATATAGTGAATGCAAATTTACAATCTTAGGAATCCCAGACCATGACGAACCGAGAAACGTTATTACGTTCCAATTACTTATATATGACCCAATTTGAATTGGGTCATATATAAGTAAAGTTTGTCACATGGATTCATCTCACAGCCTCCAGCTCCTGTGTGTCTGTACAGATCCTCTGCAGTTCTCCCATGGTATGAGTGTGAAGACCTCCATACTCCTTAACCGCAAGACCTGTGTCCTCCCGTTCTGCCCTACAGCCTTTCCCTGGTAAATGAATCGTTCACACATTTGGCTGGTCTCTCACAGATTTGAGTGCCTTTTCACGCTTTCAACATAAATGCATCAGACATCGCATAATGAAAAGATGCTTGGGTAACTAGGCACACTTTGAAAGCATAATTCATCATAATGGGACCACCTGCATGTGAAAGTCAGATCTCTTCTAACCTTTGAAGCTAGGCAGGGCTGGGCCTGGTCAGTACTGCGATGGGAGACCTCCGGGAACACCAGGTGACACAGTAGGACCGCTGCGACTGTTACTATGTCCTTAGGCAAGACCTACATTGCCTAGAATGATACTGATGTGTGGTTGGCGGCACTGTAAACCCTAACTTCAATCGTACTTCAGATATCAAAGTTATTCTAAATAGATTTTTTCCCAGTAAGTGGATATTACTCTTTTATTGTTAGTTTATTTAAAGCTTGGCAATTTCACTCTGGGTTTTCTTTGAATTGAACTCTCTGTTCAAGTAAGCCTCACTTTTGACATTTTGACGTGTAGAGTCTTAAATGAGACAGGTGTGAAATAGGGCAAGGCAGCATGGTGGCTGAGTGGGTAGCACCTTCACCTCTCAACTTCAAGATTGTGAGTTCAACTCGGAGCAAAATGTAAAATTTTTTGCAATCGCTTGAGTTACTTGGTAATATCAAGTAAAGGATGTACTCGAGTAATTCAAGTGAAGTTAATATGCAATTTATTTCCAAGGTGTTTTCAAGTAAACTTTACTTGTTAGGGTTTACAGTGGGTCAGAGAGGATGGTGGAACATTCTGGTTGCCTCGCTTGTCAGTATGCCTCAGGGCCACTCTGGCTACAGTAGTAGTTAATCAACTCTTGGTAAGAAGTTAATTAATGATGACCTTTGAGTCTTTGAGAGTCCAAACCAATGCACATACAGTGGTCGTCTCTCAGCAAAAAGTTCCGGGTTTGACTCTTAGGCAGAAGTCCCTGTATCTGCTCTTGGTGCTTTGGTTTCCCCAAAACATTTGCAATCCGACTGCAAATACTCACTAGCCTTGAGATAAAGCAGTAAAGCTGTTCATTACTACACACTGTCCTATTCAAAGAAAATAATTATTTGATCTCTAAGGGACACTCTGCGATGGAAGCTTTTGGTTTTGATCCAAAGTTCATTCCCATACTTTATTATTACTTTTTTTAGCAGCCAATTTAACGAAATAATGGAATATATGAAATTAAATGAAATGAAATGAATTTACATGAGTATTTATTTATGTCAGTGCTGTAAATACACAAACACACACGGATTCACCCTGAGCTATTGTACACGTTTTTTCGTGGTAGGGGGAATCTATGTAGACACAGGGAGAATATGCAAACTAGTCACCGAACCGCCTGTCTGGAGGTGGAATTAAACGAAACGCAAATACTTTCAAAATAGTGGACTATTATGTGTCACTTATTAAAGAAAAAGCATTCAATCTGCAGTAAAAAGACATTCTTATAATAGCTGGCATACTGCAGGTTGTTAGCTGAATGATATGTGCGTACAATTATGGATCTTGGTGGCAGAAGTAGGTTGTGATTGTACCAGGGTAAAAGGGGAATTGGTATAAGGTGCAGAGATGAAAGAAAGAGTGGGGCTTAGGGAGAAAGGGAAGGAAGGAGATCTGAGCAGCGAGGCTCTGGCTGGGGATGTGGGGGAAACAGCTGAAGGCAGCGTAGCTTAACTAAATTGTCTACTGAGAAAAAACTCTGAATTTTACACCACTTGCTTGAATCTAAAAGCCAAAATAAGTGGAATTGAAGCAATCTTACAAAAACAGGGTGATGTAGAGGACACACTTCATATGAATTTACTTCTGTTCAAATTGCGGCATTGAACCAATATATATATTTTTTTTTAAATACAACAACAAAGTGACAGACAACTATGTCATATGAAAACCAAATGAAACAGGATTTTGAAAAGAAATAAAAGAATATAGGTTTTAGAACAGTCTGGGGAACGACTCTACAAACGACTGCACATTTCCATTCGTCTTTATAAACCAACTCAAGCTCTGTCAGATTAGATTTGTTTGTAAAGAACTGTTTTCCAAAGATTATCATTTGGATTTGGGTTTGGACATGGGCCTTTCCAACAGATGATTCATGTTTCTTTACAAACAATTCCATTGTAGCTTTGGATTTATGTTGGAAGATAAATTTCCAACCTTGCCTCAATTCTTCCAAGTTGTTCACTAAACTCACTGCATCAGTTCAGTGAAACCCACACCCTGACCAGTATTGCAGATGACCCCCGGCAGAAGCTGTGGGTGGGCTTAGAGGGGAGATCAGTTTGAGCTAGCAGCTTTTGGGTACTTACGTAATGTTCTTCAACAATGGGCACAGCTCAGTGGTGTGTCTGGGTTCATGAGATGATTCAGAGCTGGTCAGATTGGATCAGGATGAGTACCGCTTTCTCTTCACTCTGTGATTGTGTCAGTAGACCTGTTTAATCCATTCACGGTAGAATGTGAACATGGACGTGACCAATACACTCTAAGTATGGATCTGACACCACCGCTGACCAGCTGTACTGAGAATAGATTACACACAGGTTGCCTCTAAATAATCATTAGGACATGATGTGAGAATTTAGCAGTCATGCACTCAACAAAATGTGAAAATGTTTCAATTGTAATAATACTTTTCAAGCCACTTTGGGCTCACCTGAACAAGAATCCAGGACTAAGGACATTGAAAGCTGATACACAGTTGATTCAAAGGTATGTATGTCAGATCAAGTAATTTGACAAAAAAGTTTGATAGATCTACAACAAATTCTATCACAAATATAGATTATCAAACATGATTTCTTAATTTATCTGAATCCTACCTCCTAAGGTCATTGTATACAGATTTACATGCAGATAATCCTTTCTCATCCTTATGTTCGCTCGTCCGTCCCTCCCTCCCTTCGTCCCTGCCTTCCTCCCTCGCCCCTCCCTCTCACTTTCCTCATCCCTGCACACTAAAGAGCACTCAGTCTGCACACTCCCCTCATTTCTCTATTGCTCCAACATGTTGGCAGGAGGAGACTGGGGAGGATGCTGCGCTCTACCCCCAGCACGTTGCTGTCACCTCTCTGGCCAGCGCACACTGTCTCCAACTCCGACTCGGCACCATCCGCCACTTTCAGCTGCCTGCACTTAAAGGACTTAAGGGAAGAATCTTCTGGGGAGAAGGAGGAGAGCTGGAGAGGCAGAGTACCTAGGACTGTCAGGCACACGTCTGTTCAAGAAAGTACAACTACTCCTGGCTCTGCTGCATGTCCAGTTTCCCCTCCAGGATCTATGTGGCAGGAGGTAATAAGAAGAAAGCGCTACTTTCTGGACCATGCTGGGGCATCCGGAGTTTGGGATAAGACTGGAGCACATCCACAAGAACGGATGAGGAATAAGTCCCAGGATGGACTATATGAGTCCTACTACTGTATGAGCCAGCAGCACCCGTTGATTGTCTTTCTGCTGATCATAGTGATGGGTGCCTGTCTAGCTTTACTGACTGTATTTTTTGCTTCAGGACTGGTAAGGATCTTCAACATTCATATTTAATTCATGTCCAAGCTTGTATGTAAAAGGTTCAAATATAGAACCACCAAGTAAGCAGGATAACGCAATCCTTGACTCAATCAAAACGGCGTGCTGACAGTCTCACTGTATGCCAGAATCTCATGTATACATATACTGTTATTACCCACAAACTCCCTGACTGGAATATAGCAGAGCCAATGACCCGCCAGTGTGTTTCCAGGTGCCTACACACAGACACACACTCTGCATTCTCCTACAGATATATGTGCACTTTGCATGTGTCCCCTCTTTGTATGTGGTCCTCATCCAGATACTAATGTGAAGTGAAAGGTGCGATAAAAGTGAGGGGATAGGGGGGCTGACTTCGAACTCAGTTGATTTGAAGAAGGGTGACTAGTTCTGCCTCGGAAAGGCTCACCGTAACTAATAAAATAATTAGTTACAGTGACCCTGGAGTGGGCTAAAAATACACACTTACAGTATCATTTTTGTTCTACACACATTTGTGGGTCAGACAGAATACCCATTCACAGAATCTGATTACGTGAGTGCCTCACCCATTCCCTGTCCTTCTTGATGTTCTGCCGAGAGCAGATTATTCTGACACACAGCAGAGACTGAGCAGGTATCACGAAGAGCAAAGAAAAGACTCACTTCTACAGTACTATATGTGGCTGGCCCTCATCAAACGTGTTGAAAAATAAAATAAAAATGAGAGAAAGGTGGTATTTTTATCCACAACATAAGGACAGTAGTTTACAGCAATCAAGCCCTTAAGTGAAAGTGTTATTTCAGTCACGCTATACAGTAACAGAGCACTCTTTGTTGTGCTGTGTACTGGACTGTTGAGGCTTTTGCTCCTTGTTATTTTTCCATCATTCTGTTTAACTCTCTGTTGAGGCACCCTCTGTCATCTTTCACCTCTTCATATCTATCTCCCTTTTATTCGTGTCTCCCTCCATTTTGCTGGATGACCTAAATCTTGCGCTGTTTTGGATCTCTGCTCTGGGCAAGACAAACTCTCAGTGGCTCTCTGCCACTGCATACGTGCATACTTTTCTGTCCCACTGCATTGACTGCAGGCAGAAATTAGAGCCAGCCGTTAGTGGGGGCTGGAATTGGTGATGGAGAGCACTGGGCACAGTAAACACCCAAGGTTTTTGTGCACCATGCATTGGCCAGTAAACAACATCATTTGGTCCTCAAACTGTACAGTAGGTGCAAAGACATATGACGAGTAGGAAAAACTTGGAAAGGCAGCCATGAAAAAGAAACAGGAATGAAAGTGATGTGCAGTTGAGTCTGCACCTACTACTCCGAGACTCCTGAAAAATGTATTAGCTCTTTCAAACCTAAATGTAGGTTTGCATCTATTATACATGTGACTTAGTTAACTTACTTTTTACTTAGTTTTGTAATGATTTTGGATGTACAAAGATGTTTGTAAACCTTATCATGTACAATGTTTTTTCTTTACAGGACATTGAAGACCATGTGGCCTTCGTAATCACTGTGCCCACAGCTCTGGCCATATTTCTGACTGTGTTTGTACTGGTCTGCATTGAGTCCATCTTCAAGAAGCTCCTCCATCTCTTCTCCCTGCTCATTTGGGCTTGCCTGGTGGCCATGGGCTACCTTTTTATGTTTTCCGGGGGTATCGTTTGTCCCTGGGATCAGGTACGATACTCTGATGCTTAAAATTAAAGACTTTGTTGTTTTAATACAATTATATCTAAATGTAATTCAAAACCATACTAATTTCACTTTATCTTGGGCTGGTGTAGTGAATAAGATGATGTGTTTATCTGGTTAAGGACTTTTATTTCTGACCTCCTTTTCAAAACCTTTAGTTAGGAATGCATTAGACAAGTTCTTGGCAGTATGTCAATACATTTAAGGCCTTTACTTATCCACACATATTGTTAAACTAGGATTCTAACCAGGTTTAGGATAAAAAATAAAAATTAGGTATTGAGCTTGAGCTACTAGATGCGTGTGATTTGGCTCCAGGGGCACTGGTTGAATGTAGCATGGATGAATGGCGCTGTATAAATAAAACATACATACTATGTGTAAGTATGTTTTAGGAAGGAAATAAACGTTATCAAAATAACGAGATTTGAGTTGATTTGATTGATACTTCTTATTCTGACTTAATGAGAATAAATAATAAATGCTTGAAGTTCAAGGATATGAATTTCCTGCATTTAAGATAACAGAATCTTTTTTCCTTGAACGCAGCAACGTTTTCTGTGAGGCTTCTGCACATCATGTGGCGTAAACCTATAGATGATTTTTTTTCATACATTAATCACAGTCCTGCTGATCGTGTCCTGTGTGGATCCTAGTTTTTTAATCCAGAGCAGCAGAAAAACACACATTTTTATCTGAGATGAATATTCCTACAGGGTTCACACGCAGGTGTTGCCCTCATAACTTAACTTCTAAAGTAAATATTCTAATCTGGCAATAGTAAAAAAAACAAAAAAACAATGACTACAAACAAACTATTCAATCAAACATAACAAACTGGATTTAAGGGGAAGGACAATGTTTGTTTTTGGTGCCTTGTCCTTGATTATAATAGTCTAATTTATATATTATACGTTTTGATATTATTGTACATAAGTATTATGTTTTTAGCAGATATTGACACATTAGAAAAGATCAAATCAGAATATTTTACTGTAATGCCACATGTTTATGTATCAATCACTACGAGGACTGTGTCTTACCCACAAGGCAAAGCAGCATTAATCAGTTTAGCATTAAATATCTAATAAAACAGTGATGTAGCATTACCCATAATATCTAAATTATTCTTATTTGAGTATAATTTTTACAGATTTGAATCTCCAGAATAATTACAATGATTATGGGAGTATGGGATCATAACATGGGATTATGATTCCCATGTTGCACTTATAGTTACACTCACAACATACTTAGGCTTTTTAAACATTATATACAAATGTTAGACCCATTGTTATTTAATTGTCTTTGAAGTGCATGTGTATGGACTCACCAAGTTGTTGTGGGTGCACTAATGAACAAGAGTTAATTGATTGGGATCCTTGAGACGATGAGTGCAGATGAAGTCCATACTGAGACTCCAGCCTCATTAAGAATGACTGCGTTTGTCTTAGACTGTTTTTGTTGCCAAGCAGATTAGGTATTTGTCCTCCAGTGCATGATGCACACACGTAGGTTGCCAAGTTACAATGAAAGCTGTGAGTTTTCATGTTCCAAAATATCCTTTTGTGGACTAAGAATGTAAACAAAATACAAAGGGTTTGGTCCACACCCCAAAGTTTGTTGAGAAACAAGGCCAGAGGATTTCACCTTTTAGATTTAAAAACACTCTTTTTCTCTCTTCAAATGGTAGGTTCCTTATCTGCACACTCCCACAAGGAGCCTTCACTGTGCACTGCCTGGACCTGGTCTTTCTCTTTCGTCCCTTTATCTTCTCTTCCATTTCTGCCCACGTCTCTCTCGTACAGAGAAAGTCTTTTGTGAGTACATACTAGACTCATTAGGCTTTAGCAGCAGAGCAGGGAAGGATGTGAATAGCAGGAGTATTATATTAGTGCTTCCAGGAATAGTAAAGGATTTACAGAATGGAAAGAGCAGTTGTTGGAGAATGAATCCTCTAAGCATAAATACAGTGAACAAAGGATGCAGAATCAATCCAATTTTGTTTAATTATCTATTATATCATTATTATTTTATAGAGTATTCCAATCTGTGTGGTGTATTCAAATGATTGATTTGATGAATGATTGATTTGTGCGGCAGCTTCCTTTAAGTATGTAAACATTTGTTGTGGTCTGCAGCCTAAAAGCCTATTATGTGATGCTCTTTATCTAATTGGATTTACCAGCCCTTGTTATTTTCTTTATATTGATATGAAGTTGAAAAGGAGTTCACTGAGCATGCCCAAGCCTTGTCAATTGAGTTGTCACAGAAGGATCTTGTCATAATAAGATTTCAGTGATTTTTTATACTTTAAAAGGTGGTAATTCACTCTCTTTGAGCCATTGAGTGGCTTCGTTCCTTTCTATTATCACTTTTTTCCTTCAATTAGCAGAATGGGTTTCAGTCACAACATCATGTTCTGTGCAAAACCAAAAACCAAAAATATAACCAATAAAAAAATTAAAAAAAAATGTTTACAGCCATCCCTCTAATTCAAAAGGCGGTATTGCAGTATTTCACCCCAACATATTCTGGAAGAGGTGCAATTGCAAGAAAGCTCAAAATATAGATGTCCAATACATGGTTTATTTAATGAAGATTCTGTAATTACAGCCTTCATCAGATCTTGTTTTCTGTTTTTCTTTTCACATCTGAATGAATTTGGAATGCTTTCTTGTTTTTGGATACAGCCAAACTCAAGAAATAAAAGAATAATTTTTAATGTGATGGCACTAAACAAAATGTTTGTTTTATTTACGTTAATGAACGTAGAATATAGAATGAATTTTTTTTATGGTTCAACAGTTAAGAGGATATACAATTGTAGATGGTGGAGGTTTTGCAGTGAAACTTCCTCTCGGCCCAGTTCCAACCTTTTTCTTTTGATCATTAAATCCAATCACACTTGTTTGTACGTTTGATTCAGGGCAGCACTCCTACATTTATTCACAGAAAATACAATAGAAAGAAAGAAAGAAAAAGGTGTATTCAGAATATTTAGGCCATACTGCCCAGTGACAATCCCACCAAACATTGGCAGATAATTGCTCTAACAGTGAAAGGGCAATTTATTGATTTTGATACACGCTGTACAATGTATTCCTGATGAGATGGTTCACTGAAAAAGACTTACTACGATGGGAAACAGAATGTCAGATGCATTTGATGACGGCATCTCATTATACACATATCTGGTCAACGCAATCAATGTGTATATTGAGTCGACTTTCGGATTCTTGAATTATTCATTGTTGATGTTTTTAATGGAAAATCAAAAGCCTAAGACCAGGGCATCTTGTGTGAAGCCTCAATTCATTTTGTAACCTTGCTGTTCCTTACAAAAGCAGATGAAACGTGAATAGCGTGTCCTCAGAGCTTTGGTGTAAGCAGGAAAAGTATCACCATATTGAGAGAAAGCAGTTATTGTAAGGATTTGAAAAAATGGGGAGGAGAAGAATAGAACAGAGACATGACGATGGGAGTATTTATTTATATATTTTTGGAAAGCAAAGAGGCATTGCATAGAAAATATTGTTGGCTCGGCGGATTTGCACTTTTATTGAAATAAAGGAGGCCATAACATGCAGGGACAATATAATATGCCTGCTATGGTACTGCACTAGAGTACACTGTCAATCAACTAGCCTATGAATGATTAAGGTCATGCAGACGAGGCCATGATAACCCATTATACCATTATGTGAATATCTTTGTCCCTCAATTTCAGGCCTAATGACTATATGTTGGTTAGAAGCTCAATCATTTCTACATAATTCTTTGTGTTGCTTTCTGGGAACATATTCATTTGGAAGGTTACCTAGAACTGCAGAAATAATCATTGTTATTCATCTTGATAGTACTTTGCATGTATAGTGTCTGTTTTTTTAAATCTACCCATTGGTTCTTGATTAACAATGCAGCAGTTTAATTCAGCAAAAAAGCATCAGTAATGTCCTTCCAAATTTAACAAAAACTAATAATAAAAAATGCTTTATCTTCATGCGCTGTATCTTCACGAGCTGTATCTCCTGGTTTACACTGCCTGCTCAGCCTGTTCTCGCTCATTTCTTATCGCCACGGACTCTCGCTGCTGGCCTGCTTTGCCCATCACATCTCAGCAGCAGCTTGTTAGCGCTCGGTGCAACCATTGTATCCTGCAACTCACCCAATATGTTTCGTTTTACCTCCCCTCTCCTCCACCACGCCGCTGCTGCCATTGCAGAGATGAATCAGTTAATGTTTGGTGTTCTGGAACCTGGGAAAAGCACAAATGATGTCTATGTTGTCAAATTTGTATATATCGTTCCTCATTCTCAAGACAGACAGGAAGATGACTGTTCTATCACTGTTGTTTTAGAGGATTTTCCCAAATTTTAGGAAAGAACCGTCCTCTCCAAAAACTTTCTGGTGTTTTTTGACGAGAACCAGATTGATCGTCAATTAGAAGGACTGATAATCTTGATGATCCACCTGGAAGTAGAATATCCGTCTATATACCTTTAAGTCTTGCTTCTTCATCATGCTAAAGTTGGAGATTTTAGAATTATTTTCTTATTATGCAAAATATCGAGATTTTTATACTGCTAGTTTTTTTAATTCTAGAGTTAGAGATTTTATTTTATCCTTTTTTAGTATAGTGTTAATAGTCATTATTCTTGCTGTGTAATCCTCATTCCTACTGTTCTGTAACTTGTGATGCAACACTGAAATGTTCCCACTGTGGGACAAATAAAGGATCTCTTAATCTTAATATTACACTTTTCCAATCAGTTCTCAGTTCGTAAAAGATTAAATATGTTTTAGTGAGAAAAAGAATATTGGGGTCTGCTCAATCAATTAACCTTAAACAAAACTCTTTCTTTTGAGGCAAACAGCGTTATAGGGGCATTTTGCAACATTTTGAAGGAAAGACAAAAAAATGTGTATTTGTTGTGTATGTGCTGTATGAGTGGTCAGCATGGCGCTTTATTTTCCATCACACTGGTCGCTGGGATGTATAGGATCAATTGTTTGGAAAATGTTCTCTGCTGATGGACCCTGTGCCAGAAAATTGATGAAACAGTTTATCTTGGAACACTGTAGATACAACTTTGATCTAAAGTTAAGACACCATGCTGCCCACTCTTACAGCCTCTGGGTCAAGTTTGCAAAAATAGCAACTTTTTCACATGCTCTTGTGTTTTAGTGTGAGGCTTAAGCTTGTTTTAGGTCTGCTTGGCTACAGACCAGGGGAAGATTATTTTAATCTACACTACTGATTTCTTGCTGGGGTCCAAGCAGAGACCTTATCTGAAATCCTCAATCGATTAAATTCAGTCCAGATAGAGGCTAGTGGGTGATGGCATATTATTTGCAGATTTGACCAAAGTGTCCATAAGAATGTGTCTGGCCACACACAAACGGCTCCTGATATGCCTTGATTTATTTTGTTTACCTCAAGGTTTATGAAAAGGCAAAATGGAGCTCAGAATACATTTACTTATTTACCTCTCAAGCTTTTGAAGAGGTAATCAACATTCCAAAGTCCCACACATATTTTCTTGCCTTATCTCATCTTGTTTCCAAATACACTGAGTCACTTTATGCATCCAGTGAGAAAATATGCAATAAGTACTACAAAAGTTTAGTTTATGATAAACGCCAACTCAATGATATCCATTGCCTGGAGTTATCATCAACTCTGAGTCAAGGAAAGTACTGTGTTTTCTTCATTTTCAGTGTCTTGAACGTCTCCGCCTCGCTCCCATTTTAATTTCCGTTCCCTCCATCTGACTACTCCCTGCTTCCATTCCCCGCTTTCCCACTGGCCTTGAAAAATGGGCAGGAAAGGTTGGGCGGCACTGGGCAATGGACTGCGAGAACACTCAGGTTCTCCGCAGCATTTGAGCTCTTTTAACCCCTTTGCACAGGGCACACTAAAGGCAGCAGTATGTTGGTGGTCAGAGGAAGAGGAGCAGACGGAGCAGGGGTAGGAGGAGGAGGAGGAGAGGGAGTTGTTGTGTGTTTGTGAAGCTGAGGTGAAAGCTGGAGCTCTCCACATGCTGCATTAGAGGTGTTAGCTGAGAGTGTTCTTTTGTAGACCGCTGCAATAATAACAGGATGGAAGCCAAGACGAGCTGCTACTCCTGCTCCATATTTGTAAAGAATGGTTTTTAAAAAAAGCAAAACTGTGCCATCTCATGTTTGATAGATCGTAATTATCAATACCTAAATTAAAATTGAAAGAAACTAACATTGCGGGATCAGCAAGCAGGAGTGAAGCTCAGTCCTTTGAATGAAAAGCAGCTTTTGCCCCTGTATCCTTGGTGCGAATGTTTGTCAATGAAAATAGGGTGTTATATTGTTTGTCTGTCATAGCAGTTTTTTTTATTGCAAATTGAGATCGGTAAATATGGAGAAAATAAACAACCTTTTTCCCCCAGATTGCCCAGCCTGACAGATTTTCTAAAATTTTCTCACACAAAGCATTACTGCCTATTTTTCTCAGAATATTCTTACCATCAACTATAACTCTCACATGCGTCATTGCCGATAGTCCGCTCAATACTGAGTGACTGCCATTATTTACATACATTTTATTTTCATGAGAATAAATTAATCATGTTGCTTTACACTGTGGGTTTCCATTGTGTTTATATTGTGCCATAAATGTAATATTTGGATGAATGAAATGTTTTTTGCTTGTGAGTTTGTCAAATTTCTATCAGTAGCTAACATCACAACTTGTTTTTCTCTCCTCAGGTGTCATTTTTCCTCTTCATTGTGTTTGTGGTATACACCATGCTGCCGTTCTCAATGCGGGACGCCATCATCGCCAGTGTCCTGACCTCAGCTTCACACACCGTCACATTGATTGCCTGCCTGTCGGCCAAAGCCTCCAGCACGGAGCCCATAGTGTGGCAGGTAAGAACAGATAATAGGCTCTCATTCATATATATACTTTTTTGTATTAATTTTTGCAGTCCTGAATGTGGTGCTTCAGCTTAAGCGTGACCCTACAGGAATCACTGATCTGGAATAAATTGGTTTCTCACACTTTTACCCACTGGCTTTCTACCTTGCATGATAATTCTAGTGCATTGGCCCTTATACATTTTACTGATTGAATATTTCTAGTATTTTATATTCATCAGTGAATGTAAAATACTCTGATAAGTACTGATACATCAAATACTTATTTACTTGAATTGTGAATCTTATGCCATCTGTAGATATATATTTGACCCTTGAGGAGCTGTCCATTGTGCTGAAATATTATGGCAGTGCTCTAAATCCTAGGAGTTAGTGATGCAGTTGTATTTACATAAGTCTCTACTTTGCAAAACTCATTATTCAGTGGGACCTTTTCCAGGATCCAGTTTTGTTTTAATGCCATGGCAGATTAAAATTCAAGATGATGTTTCCTTGTCTTGTTATTCCTCGTTCCTTTTTTTTTTTTCAACCATTTTCTCGCATTGCATTTTAGCCAAAAAAATTGATATGACCTTTGAAGTAAATTCAATTTAGCATATCAGGTGAGCAATGGGGAAATTCATTGCTCAAAAAAAGGGTCCAAAAGGTCACCATCATTATGACCACAATATTCATGAACTTGGGAAAGAAACGTATCGAGAAGCAATAATTAAAGAAAAATATTGCAATTCATTTGATCTCTATGATACTTGATAGTTTGTATCCATTGTCCTTGCCTGCAGCGGTTTGTAGATAGCTTGTGATAGTGGCACATGTGCTCCGTGGTTTTATTTTGGATTCTACATGTTCAGTGAAAAGAGATTGTTGCCCAATCGGTAGCTGACAGGCAGTCTCAGAGATGACTGAGCCAAATGCGCAGAGGTCTTCAATAGTTCAAAAGAAATGGATAAAATTTAATCCATCTTTTTTTTACGGTTAGTCGCCCCAAAATGGCTTAATATCAGACATCAGCTGGGCTGATATATATATAAGACTTTTGTGAGAAAAAATGATTTAAATCAATTCCTTTATATATTCTATTAGATAGTATTTTTCTGCAGTGAATCTTTCATTTATAATAGAATTAAATGGTTGTACTACAGGTTAGAACTGGTCGCTTTGTGTGTACTGTACGCTCTTCCAAACATGTCTCTTGAAACTCTTGAAATGGTGACTTTAACTCTGAACAAAGTGAGACACACAGGATCTCCAAACTCACATCGCAGTCGCAATGTTGGTCAGAAATGTCAAAATTGTGCAACCCTATATCATGTGTGAAGATTTAAGGGGTAAAAGGGACACTACTATGTCACTTTGTATTGTTTATTGATCATTCTTGATAGTACCTGTGTATGTTCATATTCACAATGAACTAGTAAATGCAGTAAATTCTGTAAATTCCAAAGCATATATCTAGTTTTTTTTTCTTCAAACATTCAGAATCAGAATATTTTTTCAAGGCCTTTGTAGGTAACAGAAGTCACAAACTAGAAAATTGCTTTGGCTTTTGTTGCTGTAATGTGGATATGCTCTGATATTACTCAGAAAATACAGTCTGACAGCCCCTCCGCAGGAAACCGACCTGTCCTCCAGATCAATGTTATACTAATTGCACTCCATCTTGTTGCCATCTCAAGGGAACACAGATTTCATTGTTCTGTTGACTTGGTGATTCTCTTTAAGTCTCTCTACATATTTGTTTTTCATTCTAATTAAAACAACAGTTGTCCAGGGCCATACATCCCAGAAGGATAGCTGTGCATCTATTATAATATTAATGTCAACTGTTTTAGAGAGAGTTGTAAAGAGAGTTGAGCAGATGCGTGGAGAAGGACACAAATTCACTTTATCGAGCCCATCCAACTTTGCTTTCATTAAACACTGCTGAATTATTCAGGCTCATTCAATAACAACAGAATAGCCTCGACACTCAGGGTGACGTTAGCTGTGTGTGGAGGTATCTCCTTTATAACAGCAGCATATGTGCTTACAAAAACAATTATACAACATGCTATTGTAATCAGTGATTCATATAAATGCAATTCTCATCATGCGAATAATTGCACCAGTGTTTCCCTCGTTACCGGTGCAAATGTCGAGGCCGGGGAATCATGGGTTCAGGGTCTGAAACTGAATCCCTCCCAGTGTCATGGGGTGGATTTTACTTTTGTATTTGGTTTTATTTTGACATTTGTCCTGTTCCCCTGGTTGATTATCTGCCCCGCCCCATGGTGTTTGACCTGTGTCTATCTGTGACTATATTTACTCTTCTCCCCTTGGTGCTGGTTCAATGTCAATGTCTTTATTTGTCCTCGTCTGTCGTTTTCCAGGTTCCTGCGTTTCATTTTGGATTTTTCAGCTTGTCACCTTGGACTTTAATTTCTTCACCATCATCAAATCAATATTTTTTTGTTTTCTTCCTGCTTTGTGGGTCCTCCATCTCATCACATGACACCCAGACTGCAAAGAACAGGCTACAGTCAAGTACTTTCTGAAGCCCAGACAGAAATGTCTACTGTGTGTCTTATGTTAAAAGTCTGTAAATTTACCCTAACAGTTAAAAGTCAGATAAATCACTCACTGCATATTTATTGTTTATTGTTTTTTTTTTTTTCATTACTGTGTATCATATATATCCACCTCTGAGCTCTTGATTTAATTTTATTTTTAACCTTGCAGAACTCTCAATGTTTGTGGACACATCTTAAAATTCCAGATCTTTTTTTCTATTATTACATTTATATTTATGTTATTTGGATATGCTCCACCCACACAAAACAACACAAAACAAAAGAAGAACCTAATTCATCTTTGAATTCTCATCACAAATCCTCAAATGAATGAATGTTAACATGCCCTTTATGTGAGTTGCCTTAGCATGCATGTAAAATGATAGCATAAATGATGTTACTTGAATACATGGCATGAGAACATTTTGCAACCAAGAAGAAAACCTGTCATGTGTGAAACCCTCAGGGGGACAAATATATATATATTTATATATATTGTTGAGTGCCTCTGTCTTTACTGACAGTTTATGAATGAAATATGAAGTGCAATGCAAAAGAGTCTGATGAGCCAGAGCAGAATCTAATATGTAGAATGCCTATAGAATTCTAAAACCATGAGTCTGCTTATCAACTCTTTCTGGACACACATGGATTTCAGTAGATGAATGTGCCTTGTTCAAAAAGGTCATTTCTCAAACTGGCAATGTTAATCTCTTGTTCAAATTTAGAGTAGAGTTTGCATGTCTAACAGGCAATGAAATTATAAGGTCAGCATTGACCCGCAGAGAAAGACGAGGAAAACAACAGTCATTTGGAGTTGGGCAATCAGTGAAAAATGTTTATGAATGACTGCGAAAGAAAAATAATTACTTTTTCTCAATGAATACCAGATACAATTGTATTTAGCTGAAGGTTATCAGGTCTTCAGCTCTTTGTACATTCACTTTTTGTCCAGACTGTGAGCGGAATCCTATTATCGTGGTTAATTTGGTTTCATAACATGTCAATTTGTGACTAAAATAACAGAATGTGACGCTTGTTGTTGCCATTGTGACAGTCGGGGATTTGGATCTCATTCTCCACACTATCTTTGAAGCGAGTTTCAGGATAATATTCATAAAGATTTATAGGGCCTTGTGGTCACGCTTAAGTTTTTCTCTGATGTGTTGCCAAGGGCATGGGACGAGAATCTCCCCAGTACTCCTTTCAAACTGTCAAAATACGACTCAAATAGAATAGATACATGTTTGTTGTCATTCCGTGGCACATGACATGTATTATAAATTATAAAGTACAAATGGTTTAGGTGGGTCCATGTTTCAACATGGGCTGATTAATAAAACCACATAATTGTCTTTAATTTAATGAAAAGTGATTTGTGTCACTTTGTATCTTCATTTCTGCAAGTTCTAGAAATACATGTTTTCTGTTATTTTTGTTTTTATGTTTAGATTGGCCTACTATTACTATTGGCCTTACCTCTGTAAGGCCAATAGTATTAACCGTCAAATCCTGGATGGTAGAAAACGTTTTTCATCGTATACACGACCATACTGAGGTTCAGTCCTCCCACATATGCAAGGCAAGGAAAGTTTATTTGTATAGCACGATTCATACACAAGGTAACTCAAACAAAACAAGGCAAACTAGCAATAGAATCAATCACACAAGGCATTAAAATCATAATAAAAAATAATCACGGTACATTAAAAAGAAAGATAAAAATATAAATTCCTCATTTGTATGCACACATATTTTTAAGACCAGTGAAAAACCTAGATGTTATTTTTGACTCGAGCTAACTTTTATCCCTCATATCAAAAACATCACAAAAATAGTTTTTTGTATCACTTAAGGAACATCAATTCAATGTCTTCACTTCAATGGTAATTATCTTGAGGGTTTGCCAACACAGATCAGAGAATCAGTCAGTCAGTCCATGAGGACCAATGTCCTTAAATGTTGAGTGTCCTTTGACCCTCCTACATTGACAAGGAACAACTCTAACCCAATGGAAAATAGAGGAGAAATCTCCACATTGAGAGAGGGATCAGCTCCCAGACGGACAGGCTATCAATCCGGGACTCAGGCTACAGAGCAAGGACCGAGGCCACGCATATCAGGACAGAGGCTGTAGAACAAGGATAAAGGTAATAATAATAATAATCTTTATTTGTATAGCACTTTTAAAAACAATGTTTACAAAGCTCTGCACAGTAATGCAAAGTCAAAATACTGTAATTAGATACATCAGATACAGGAAAACAAAGCAGACAGAGCAAAACACAAGAAGAGAGACACAACAAAGACAAAGCAGGCATTAAAATACAGCATGTGAAGTTTAAAACTAGCAGTTAAAAGCTGTTTTATAAAAGTGGGTTTTAAGAAGTGATTTAAAAGAGGATACTGATGGTGCTAGCCTTATCTCCTCGGGCAGGTCGTTCCAAAGCCGAGGAGCCCGGACAGAGAAGGCTCGGTCACCTCTTGTCCGGAGCCTCGACCTTGGAACGATCAACAGGGACCTGCCCGAGGATCTAAGGCTGCGGGGGGGCTCGTAGGGGGTTAAAAGTTAAAAAATATAGCTGGCTGCCAGACCTAAACGAGCTTTAAAAGTAATCAGTAAAATCTTAAAATCAATTCTAAAACGCACAGGGAGCCCAGTGGAGAGACGCTAAAACAGGGGTGATGTGCTCCCTTCTGTTAAAACCAGTGAGAAGCACAATGCAGCACTGAGGCAGCTCCTAGGCGGGGAGGGATTGCAGCCCACCAGTCGGGCTGGGGAGGACAGCCAACTGGAATCGGCTCACCATGTGTATCACTTTAAGATTTTAATGTTCTATTAATTTTTTTGTTTATGTAGTAATGGTTTTGGGGCTTCATATGTACTTTAGATCTTCCTGGCCCCTGCACTGTAAGCCTAGACCCAGCAGATCTTATTTTGGTGGTTTTTTCCTTGATTTGATCCTTGACTCACACATAAATTATTCTATTCTATTTTTTGCAGATTCTAGCCAACATTATCATCTTCCTGTGTGGAAATATGGCAGGAGCATATCACAAACACCTGATGGAACTTGCCCTGAAGCAGACATACATGGACACCTGCAACTGCATCAAGGCGCCGATTAAATTAGAATTTGAAAAGCAACAGCAGGTAAGGTGAATCCAACGACTGCTGAGAGAGCCTGCGGTAGTATTGGTAATGACGACCATAACAATAAGAGTGTTAGTTATGCAAAGTGTTATGGTGCCTTCAGGAATTGACTGGATACATAAGGAAAGTGTTCAGGATCCAAGACATGGTTGCTGAGTTTGTATTGAATTTATTGCATGGCACATGATTCATTTCACTCCATTGGGGATTTAGGGAATATTTTCATGTCAGGCACTGTTCATGCGTGAAAATAGACGCAAGCCAAATAACTATTGTTTTTTACAGCCACATCATTAAACTTGTCATTAGTTAAGAGAAATCTGTCACTTCATAATGGGTGTGAATCAAGGAATAAGGAAAGCTGGCTATTTTAATTATAAATAATATAAACTCTGCAGCGGTCATCATTAAAAGTGTTTTTTAAAGCATTGTTGTTGCTGTGTTATACTTGTTGCTAGGTGCAGTCTAATTCAACTCTATACTTTGATAAGACTATCGCCATAGGAAATTCCTTTATGTTGGGGCATCCTTTGTTTCCGAGTATGAGCCACAACACAATTGTGGGTTTATGGCCTCTCTGTGGTTTTCAGATGAAAGATTCCACAGAGACAGTGTCTCGGGAGCCACATTTACAGCTTGTGGTAATTGTTAATTAACTGTGTGATGATGTATTGGACCTCGGCTGTCCTGTTCAATGATTTAATTCTCCAGCGTAGACGTGTTGCTTGCATGGAATATTGGATGTGTGTGCTCCTGCGCTGGCACGTGCTATGGATTATGGGATGTTCTATCAGTGTTTGTTTATTTAAGACTCGACTGTTTCAATATCGCTGTGGTTGTACAATTCATCTGATGCATGTGATTTTTGAAACAGCAGCTTCTTTGAAGATCATATTACAAACATAGTGCCACTGCTGAATGGGTTGAGATCCGATGATAGCGTTTGAAAAACTGCCTGGAGTGTTTTATAGCAGCCGCGTGCTTCTTTAAGTCTTTGAGTCTCCTGGGCCTCTGCTGCACTCATCACATATTCTGTTTCTTCTATGCTTCACTGTACTCTATATATTCAAAAATGTTGTTCAGAACACTTCTGACCAAAAGCGCACTTTCACATATCTCTTTTCTAAAAGCATGTTTTATGTTATTTGATATTACATTTGTAAAGAATTAATATACACAGAAATGTTTCACATTTTGTAAAAGTATCTTTTAAACTTTTAACTATATATTTTGAGACAATTGATAATTTATGAAGATATGAAGTGATTGTATGTTGTTGATGCAAATATAAATAGATTAATGGGTAAATGACATTCACAAACTTTTTCCAATAATGTAGCAATTAACGAGGGCTGCGGCATGTATATCCCAATTAAATTAAATTCAATTATTTCTTGTATTGTTCTAAATCCCAATTATCTCAGAGGACGAAACAAAACCGTTGAAGAAAAAGAATTTATTCGTTCCACAATGGGGGAAATTTCAGTTTGATGCATACACATATACACATACACATCAAGGCAAGCAACAAAATTCCCAACACAGATCAGAGAATTAAACAGTTCAAACACAAAAACTATAGAACTCATAAGTATCGGTCCATAGGGGGAGTTGACCAATGTCCATGGATGCTCATTCGACCAATCAAATCGATATATGTGCATTGTACTGTATGTGCTTTTCTCTACATAAAACACAACTAATTTCTAAACTTTTTTGCCCATCCCTTATTTTTACAAATTATTGGGTGTTCTGTGCATTTGTTGAGTATTTGCAAAATGTCAGGCTGCAGTATTCCTTGTTCATGAAGGAATCATTGACATGTCCAGCAGTGCTGGCCTGCTGTGCTTTTGCCAACAGGAGCGGCTGCTGCTGTCACTGCTGCCAGCGCACATCGCCCGCGTCATGAAGGCTGAGATCATCCACAGACTCAAGGGGCCAAACTTCGGCCAGATGGAAAACACCAACAATTTCCACAACCTTTATGTCCAGAGACACACTAACGTCAGGCATGTGCCATCTGTTTAATCTCTGTAGCATTGAGCTGCAAATACATCCATTTCACGTGATTCGTGATTCACTTGTCTTTTGTGCGCACAGTATTCTCTATGCAGATATCGTGGGGTTCACTCGACTGGCCAGTGACTGCTCACCTGGAGAACTAGTGCACATGCTCAATGAGTTATTTGGCAAATTTGACCAAATTGCCAAGGTAAAGGAATTGCTTGAATATACTATAAAACTGCATTACCACACTTATAGTCCGATAGAGCATTTTGTCTGCAAACACATAAGAGATATGGTATGTTCTAGTGTAGGAGATTGTTTTGCATGGGAGGCAGTGCAATGTATTTCTATGAGACCTCTAGTTGAACCTCAAACTTCTGAACACTTCCCCCTTTTATCCACAGGAAAATGAATGTATGAGAATCAAAATTCTGGGTGACTGCTATTATTGTGTGTCAGGATTACCAGACTCTCTGCCAAACCACGCCAAAAACTGCGTGAAAATGGGTCTCGACATGTGTGAGGCCATCAAGTAAGTGTCATTACATAAGGGTGCCAAAAGGAATGTTTTGGATGAGCTGTTGGCTTCAAAGTGACTGCTGAATTTAATTACTTAAGGCTTTCACAACTTCAGAACAGGCTTAGATGTAAGAGGAGGAAATTAATGAAGCATTATTAAAGCCTGTAATCATTTTAAGTGGTGCCTGAAAATCGGATGCCAGCTGAATAAATGTAATTACATGCGTTGATAAAATCTAGACCATCTCTGCATACTTAGTCTTCTTCCATAACAAACTGACTAACTCCCTGCAGTATGTCCGTGTCTCCACAAGGTTTACAAGTTACTCCAGAATTTGGCAGGGTGTACTTAGAGCTATCTAATATATGAATGATTTGTGCAACATAATTTTTGAATTTGACAGTATCAGGAGTATCTTATCGGCAGTACCCTGATACCCTGACCCTATTAAATTTAAGAAAACCAAAAAATTGTTAAGATAAAATCCATCAGCTAAACAGAACTATTTTTAACCTGGATTTGAACATTATCATAGAAGAAGCCTGTCTCACATTTTAGGAAAGACTATTCTAGATTCTAGCTGCATGAATCTGGAAAATATATATCTTTTAGAGACCAGACTTCCATAAGATAACATGATAACAGCCTGTTGTTTTCCCCACTCACAGGAAAGTGCGTGATGCCACTGTAGTGGACATAAACATGCGAGTGGGAGTGCACTCAGGGAACGTCCTGTGTGGAGTCATTGGACTGCAGAAGTGGCAGTACGATGTCTGGTCACATGATGTCACACTGGCCAATCACATGGAGGCCGGTGGTGTGCCAGGGTCAGTCACATGCCTATGTTATTATATACCTTTGTTTATCTTATAACCATATAGCTTATGGATAGCATGCATGTTGCTTGACTGCCACGCGGTAATTAAGTACTTGGTTGGCAAAAGTATTGAATTGCAGATATATATTTATATAAAATGGAACTTTGCTCGGGCATTTTTAGAACAGTGTGGTAGAAAAGTATTATCCTTGTGGACTTGATATCATCTCTACAATATCAAAATTTGCATTGAATGGAAAGGGTGGAATGTGTAAAATTGAAATTGGCTGCAGTGCAGATTAATAGGACTTTCCTACACAGGAGCATAACTCACCGGCAAGGCAGGGTCCGATTGCCCTTCTTCTACATAGTTGGCATTGTGGTGCGAGGGTCCCCAAGCGTGGGTGCCCCGTCAACGGCCCATTGCACGCTGGACTCTCCTCCAGGGCTCTCCTCGGCCGCTCCGCTCACATGCCGGTTCAGACGCGCTTTTCCGATTCTCCCCGAGTCTTATTATCGCGCTCCCAGACACAGGTGTACCGATTGGTAATTAGTTGGCAGACAGGTGTGCAGGGGTAACCACGGCAACAAGTGGGAGGCAATCCAACACAAGTGGGTAAAAAATACTCCAAACCAAACCATACAAACACAAAATGCCATCCCATTCTACTGGGCTACGTATACATTAGCAGCAAAATACAATTTGATAATTTAGTTCTAGGGAACGACTGAATTGGATTAAAAAGTAAAATACATTATTTATCGTCAATTGTAACAGTGTCCATTATGTATTACAATGCAACATGACAACCTGCGACTTATTTGTGAATAAAATTGTCTATCTTTTAAAAATGTTCTGGTGCCGTTTAAGTTTACATTACGCTTAAGGTGAAAGTCAGTTACTTTTTTTTATTTTAATGTGACCACCAGTTAGACCCGCCCCCACAGCTTCTTGATTGGATGCAATGGATACAAATACTTGATAGACAACTGATGCCCCCCACCATTGGTTTAACTATTCTCCTCTGGTGGGGGTTATGCCAAGGAAAGGAACTGTTATAAAATAACTATTTATAAAAAATACTTAATTTCAGATGATACGACAGGGTCTATGGTCAAAAATATGCATTCTTATAAAAAGAAACAAAAAAACAATGTAAGTGTCAGATATCACCTTTTATTAGTCCAACAACTACAGTGCAGTAAGTGACATTACATTATTCACACAAATAAATACATATTTGTGTTCATTCTTAGTCGAGTTCATATAACATCAGTGACCTTGGAGCATTTAGACGGCGCCTATAAAGTGGAGGATGGCAACGGACAGGACAGAGACCCCTATCTCAAAGAGCATGGGGTCATTACATACTTAGTCATCAACCCAAAGGTACTATTTTACACACATTTTTACACATCACCACCTTATTCTACCATTGAACCTAACCGGTAATTCTCAGGTGGAGAGTCCTCATTTCAAACCAAGAATGAACGGTGCAAAGATGAGAGCCTCCGTGAGAATGACTCGATACTTGGAGTCGTGGGGAGCGGCCAAACCCTTCGCCAACCTTCACCATAGAGACAGCATGACCAACGAGAACGGCCACATCAACACAGCGGTGGGAAGATCTTTGTGTACAATTTTCTATTTCATTTCTGTGCATTGATTTTTCTTACCGGCCTGTGTTTGTGTAGGATGTACGGATGGGGCAATATCATTTCCAGAGAAGATCAGAAAGGCAAGGACAGTCTTTTCTTTTTCCAATCACTACAAACATACAAAAGCAAGTTCTTATTTGCTTGAGTTAGAAGAAAATGATCTGGATTTGACTATATTTTGTCTGTCTTGAAACAATATGCCAATGGGATAAGCAACTGTTATATCAAAAATGTTTTTTTTCATATTTTGTTCCATGAGCAAATCTTTTAAGACAGTCAAATGTGATGGATTTGACTGCACCTATTTTTGATAGTAATAATAATAATAATATTTTTCTTGCTTTTGTTGGTCATTTCAATACTAGGACAAAATCGCAAAAGAAACGCTTTGAGGAAGAACTTAATGAGAGAATTATAAGAACATTTGATGGCATAAACGCTCAAAAGTAAGCAGCATTTTTCCACTTTGAAATACATTTCTACTTTTGAAATTAGCCTTTTATTATGAGTTTGTACTCTCTTCTCACAGGCAATGGCTTAAGTCAGAGGATATACAAAGAATATCGCTATTTTTTCACAACAAGACTTTGGAAAAAGAGGTATTAAACATTAAACACTGGCAATATGTGTCTCAGCTGTGTTCTGTTAGACACGTGAAAAGGTCCTGCATTGAACATGGTTTGGAAATGCCAGTAAAGTAGCGTTTGAAGTTCCTAGAAAAGCTTTTTTTCTTCTGGAAAAATTGACCTTTCTTTTTCCTTCAGTACAGAGCAACTACTCTACCTGCTTTCAAATACTACGTCACCTGCGCCTGTTTGATCTTTATTTGCATATTTGTCGTGCAGATTCTCGTCCTGCCAAAGTTAGTTTTCTATTTATTCAATCATAAACTGTCCCTACTCTTTGATATGTAATTTTTTCTTTTTTTCTTTTTTAGGACCGTGGTTTTAGGAGTGTCTTTTGGGATGGCTTTTCTGATCCTCCTCGTTATTCTCTTTGTGTGTTTCGTTGGGCACTTTGTGGTAAGCTGCACATAGGGTAATCAAGAAATCACATTTATTCATGTAGTGCTACCCAATGTGCTTTACAAAGACATACAATCATCCACTTTGAAAAACATGAGCAATGGTAAACAGAAATATTCAATGTCAGGATTAAAACCTAGTATTAAAATGTATTGGCAACAGTTTTCAACCTGGGCTTAAATAATGCCTTTGCTTATAATAAAATGCATTCTATGTGGGGAAGTATTCTTGGAAAAAGGAATGAGAAAATCTGCAGCTATGTCGCTCTCTACCATCTTTTATTCACACACCACAATAAAATCTAAAAAAAGATCATATTTTGAACCTTTTTTTAATCGAGCGTGCTAGTATATCCTCCTGGGATGTGCTGCCTTATTTAAAACCTCCTTGAAATATTCTAGGAAAACAATAACATTTACATATTTTAATAATCAATGCTTTGCTGAGTTTCTGGAGATGTTTCTGCAGATGTAAAACTATTGTTGGGGTCTGATAAATCTCATCCACTCGGTTTGAGGACTGAAGGAGTTATTTTTAGGACGTTGCTTTAATGATGTGGTGTGACTCCTCTTAAATGAAAGAGAATAAAATCTAAAAGGGAAATGTTTTAACTTTGAAGACGTAGGTAGGGTGCAGGCAGCAGACTTCACTGATCAAAGCTGCCAACTGTCGTCATGTGATCTGACGGTGTTCAGACAAAACAGTGTATACAGGATCCTCAGATCTGTGTAAGTGTACTGTACTGTTATTTGCTCCATTGTGGTCAAGTAAATACTTCAAATGCAAGTGATAATTGCATAGAATATAAAAGTAATACAGACAAATATTTATTACACATTTACAGCCAAAGGTTAGTGTGTATGGACGAATGATAAAACAGTAAAATGTTAAATAGAACAGTATCTGAAAAAGCTCCAATGTCGTACCACTGATACAACACTCATTATACTTTATTTTCAATTTTTTCCTAATATCAAACTTTGTGATTCCTATATTGACTATGTTGTCTTCATTTGCCTTTATCGCTTGCTTTTGTCAGTCTGACAGTGCCCTTTGCCTTCACTCTGCCCTCACAGCAGTGCAGTAGAAGTGCATCCGCGCCTTGGCTCTGGCTGCTGCGCTCCTCGGTTATTATTGCCAACAAGCCATGGCCCCGCATCACCCTCACCATGACAACCACCGCACTAATACTTATAATGGCCGTGTTCAACATGGTGAGCTTTTTGAACACATGTACTCTAATGTGCAGGAAACTTCTTAAAGCAGTGACCTTGAAGAACTGCTGTTAGACATAGCAACTGTTGTTTTTGTTTCACCCTGCCACCTTTTCGTCATGTTTTTACCATTCAATGTTTGTATCATACAGATGGTGATCTGTAGTTGTTGACCGAAATCAATTAAGGATTTCTGAAGTGTGAAAAAGGTGCACTGCTGCCTTTGGCTGTGCTACCTTGTGCTGGAGCTGGGAGTCATGACCCTGGTTTAGACCTTCACACAAATCGATTTGAGAGATTATAATCTTGTTTTGAGGCTGACGTAGGTCAGAGGCCCCGGGCGGAAGAGCCAAATTAACTTGCTTGAGTTTGACAGTGCAGCCAATCGGCTTCTTAGCCTGTAGCTTCTCTTCAGGACATTATTGAACTGTTGTCAGTGTTGGCCTCTTATCTAACATGATTCTATTTTCCTCCTGGGTCCACAGTGTAGGAGGCTTGTTTGGCCAGATACTGACGTAAAATACATTTCTATTACATAATCTGTGCAGAAATGGAGTTCAGGTGTTCAGGCAAATCTGTCATTGCTGAACGCTTAAGACTTGGTCTATTTTTATCTTATTGAAGAACATCAGCATAAACCCTGAGAGTATTGTTGTTTCCATTATTAATCAAGAAAGACATTTGACTTTGAATAATGTTTTTTTGACCAGTTTTTCTTGGAGGAAAATGAGACTTCTGTAGTCCCTGCTTATAATTCATCAAATGAAACACTACTTTTGTTGAATGGACAACACATCACATTGATGGATAAAAACAACTTTTACCTCCCTGTAAGTCTGTTTCAAAGAATATTTCAGGATGAAAAACTTTATTCTAACAAGTCTGTTTTGGCAGTATTTGATTTACAGTTGCATTCTGGGCCTGATCTCATGCTCTGTGTTTCTGAGAATAAACTACGAGCTGAAGATGGTGATCATGTTGACAGCAGTGGTGGTTTACAACATCATTATTCTGCAGACTCACTCCTCTCTGTTGGATGAATACAGCACATTTCTCTACAGAACTGAAGTCTTAGACAGGTAGGTCAAAACCGGTGGGGGCGGGTCCCGGCTCAAAAGCGGCCAAAATGACGTGCGCTGACATGCTTGCAATACCACCCCGGGCCGATGGGGGTGGACCCAGAATAAGAATTAGCCAATGCTAACATATCACATCTTCTTACCTCTCAAAAACGTCTTTACAGGATGGACCAAAAGTTGGCTCTTGGCCCAAAGCTCCGTTCCACATGTGTGTCAATGCTGAGGGGAGTGATTTTTTTTGGACCACTCTAGTTTACTCGCTGTGAATTTTTGAAGGCACTCGTTTAAACGATTGGGGCTCGTGCCGGCTGACGCATGCGTGGATGCGTTTTTTCACATTTTCCAGCCCCTGCGGCCATTTTGAATCATTCCATGAAAGCTCAATTTTTGGCCCATTAGTTAGAACGGCGGAGATAGGCGTGACTACGTCCGTTGATATATTCAGTCTATGGTCAAAACACAGTTCTGTTGCCCGCATGGTCAAACCATAGTTTGTTTTCTGGTGCGATTTCAGATGCCCTTTAATCTGGTAATGTAATGTAACATAATAGTACAAAATAGAACTAATTAAAGCAGCTTTTATCATAAAATTGCTTTATCATAAAAGCTTTAAGATTTAACGAGTTTATTCCAAAGTCCACAGAGGCTAAACAGCATTGAGATGCATCTGGAACGTAGCGTTGGGCCATGGCCAACTTTTTGACCTCCTGTAAAGCCGTTTTTGAGAGGAAAGAAGACGGCATACAAAAGCATTGAGTAATTCTCTTTCCGGGTACACCCCCACCGGCCTGGGGTTGGGTTATTGCGCCGCAAGCATGTCAGTGCATGTGCTCAAGGACCTTTTTGAGCCGGGATCCACCCCCACTAGCTTACACAAAGGGTATGCTCAATTCTAAAGCTGAACTTATCAGAAGCCTGAAAGAGCTTCAGGCTTTTAGCTGCAGTTTAGAGGTCTCTTTCTTTTGGCCAGTGTAACACGGTCTATTCATCAGGGAGACGTTTTGTTGAGGATTGATTAGATAATGAAGCCTTCATGCGTTGAGATAAATGTGGGTATTTCTGGACTGCTTATGTAAAAATAAAAAAAAGACACTGAGCAGTCTTTGCTTTTATGTTGCATTGAGATCAGAATCTTATTTTAGGGGAAATATTTTGTGTTATTTTTTGCCATTCAAAATTATAATGAGTATTTACTTCAAGTGTTTTTATGTGAAATAATATCTTCAGCAGAAAATATACAACAAATCAAGTATACAAGGTTAATAATGCTATTGGCCTGTAACTCCCTATGCAACCACCACGGGGAGGAGTTTAATTTTACCAGATTTGAAAATTACCAGCTGCTAACATAAATTCAGCTGAGAAATTAACAAAACTAACTTATGGGCAATACTTGTTTTAGAAGACATTAACTGCTTGAGCGTGATGTCATAGTGGTACAATGGCATATTTCTATTATAGGATGGAGACAGAGGCTTTTAGACAGAAGGGGCAGAGTTACATGATATTAGCGTGGATGAATCTAAAAACAACTTCATGTCTGAGTAATGAAGAATCTGAGTTCTTTTAAATTGCAAACTACCTTTGTATTTATTATCTTTTACCTTTAGTGAATGAGATCTTACAACAAATTGACAGACAGACATGTCTGGAGGCAGTGAAGCTTGTCCATTGTGTTGCTGAAAATGAACGAGGCCTTGTCAGAGCAAAGCATTAGTGACAATCATAATCAAGTGTCATCCTGGAAGAAATTGCTCTTCTAAACAACCAATTTGACACACATGGCTGAGTGCTGATTCAAGTGCTAGTCTGTAATATGATAATCTCTGCTCATCCTTCCTCTTTATGTTGAAGACCTGGAGTTCTGAAAGATCTGAAGACTATGGGCTCTATCTCCCTCTTCATCTTCTTTATCACTCTGCTGGTGCTGGCTAGGCAGGTGCGTGTGACAGTGTAATCCTGGGGCCTTGTCACTCTCTTCATCTCTGCAGCTCTAATCAACTTTCATCTTTGCTTTCACAACTACCTTCAAATCCTGAAGTATGATTTGTATGTAGGCCATAAAGTATTTCCCTTCTCTGCACTATTCAACCACTGAGTATCGTAAGAAGCGACATGCTGTGTGCGAAGTAGAAAGCAGACGTTGTACCAGACCTGTTCATTATTCACCTTGAGAAGCTCAAACAGAAATGATATTTCTGTTCATGCTTTTATTTGTGCAACTCTGTGTCAAATCTAAACTACAATCCCTAAAATGCACTCTGCTGTTTCTCATAAGTAGAGCTAATTTTCATAAGATCCATATAAAAAACAGTCACTCCTTAGTAACACATTATCAATAGATGTAATTCTGCATTAAATATACTCAGCATTATGCAATTTGTGGTGGGAACTTCCTTATATCAAACTGAGATATAGATAATTTTATTATATGTTTAAAAATATATATGTATGCATGCTCCGATTGGACAAAAATAATTCAAGTCCTTCCCATTCTCCTCCAGCTACGGTCATCTGGTGGTGATTATGGGATACAAGAGAATGACTCCATTAAACATAAATTATGAACATGACCTTTTGGGTACAATGCAAATGTTAGTAGAATTAGATTTAATATGCTATATTCGTGTGATATAAGAGAATACAGGTGTTCAGCCTATTATTCTCTAGTCTACAGTCACCATCAGGGCCAAATCTCTGTACAGAGATGAAGATTAAGAGATATTTTATTTGTACCACAGTGGGGGCTCAAAAAAGAAGCAGATGGATTAACAATAAAAGTTTATAGCAAAAAAAACTTATGGGCAGCCAACTCAATTTATGGCACAGTAAAAAGGCAACAGATAAAAGGAGTCTAGACAAATAGCGGGTAATTATTTTTACACAAAGTACCACTTCAGATTTTCTCGACACTTCTAATACAGTATATTACTGTACTTGGCAGGACCATAATCAAGGCGAGATCTGTACATCTATGCAGTTAAATCAAATGGGTCAATATATTCATTTACTGTATTAAGTATATAAACTGTTATTATGAAGGAAAATGCATCATTTTTACATCACCAAACAGAACCTTTATTCTGAAATCTGACATTTTAACACTAATCTGTATGTTGTTGCTATGTGTTGCACTATATGTGCAACTGTTTAACCACTTCTCCCTTTGCCTTACGTCTTAGTGGCTGTGTTGTTCTGTCGTCTTTGATGGAAACTGTCCAGCTGTGCCTTCAGTCTCTTCACCTCTGTGTCCTCTTGTAACAGAATGAATATTACTGTAGGTTAGACTTTCTCTGGAAGAACAAGTTCAAAAGGGAGTGCGAGGAGATCGAAACCATGGAAAATCTCAACCGGGTCTTACTGGAGAACGTCCTGCCTGCTCACGTGGCTGAGCACTTTTTGGCACGAAACTGGAAAAATGAGGTAGGGCACAGACGAGTTAAGAGTACAGTACATGTTAATATAATTTATATTTTGGCCAGAAATGTTTTACTTTGGTATAGCCAAGTCTTGCCCTAAATCTGAATCATATATCATCTTTATAGAGCCATTTACAATACCAACAAATCAATGTCAAAATGTATAAATTGGCAGATACATCGTTTTTCTAATTAGGAATTTATCATCATTAATAAATGCCAAATATGTATTGTACTGTTCTAGTAAATCTTGCTCACTATCCCTTTAAATACAAAACATTCATTTGCATGTCTTTATTTGTTTGAACAGTATTCAATTCTGTTCCAAAGAAATGAGCTGAAGCAAAAAGCTTATGAGCACGCCCCATACCCATAAAACGTTTTATATCACAACGTTTTACAATACAGAACAAGGGCGCAAAATCACACGAAGGCACAACTACAACGACAGCATTGTTTAACTCAGATCTCCACAAAGCAAGTAACAAAAGGTGACCATATAATGACTTTAGAGCCAACAGTGCTGATGGTCACAAGCTTATTATGAAGACACATTCATGTACATTATTAATACATCTATTACGCTCACAGGAGAGATCTTGCTGCTCTCCAGATGTCACCCTCACTTCAATATTCATCTGATATATTTTCTTTTTAAATTAAGTGCAGCATATATGATGTAACTCTACATAAATCAGATTCTGACAGCCGACATGTTAACACCGACCTGTTTATTTTGATGTAGAAACTTTTGTGCACAGAAAGTTCACATCCAGACATGTCTAGATAGATTGCTGTTTTAAATCTCGGTACATTGGTTTCTTTGCAGGATCTGTACCATCAGTCCTATGACCTGGTCTGTGTCATGTTCGCATCCATCCCAGACTTTAAAGAGTTTTACACTGAATCTGATGTCAACAAAGAGGGCTTAGAGTGCCTCAGGCTTCTCAACGAGATCATCGCTGATTTTGATGAGGTGAATTCCCGTCCCTTTGTTGAGCATAAATGGATAAAAAGAAGTGACATTTGGGTCAATCCGTAGTATTGTGTTTCCAAACAGCTGCTGTCAAAGCCTAAATTCAGTGGAGTGGAAAAGATCAAGACCATCGGTAGCACCTATATGGCAGCTACAGGACTCAACTCAGCATCTGGGCCAGAGTACACGATGCAGGTGCCCTTTTCAAAACGCCAATTACTCTCATTCATTATGCACATAGTAAATTCTTATTTATTCACTGATCAAGGAAATGTGTTTACTTTGCAGGAACATGACCGACAGTATATGCACATCGGGACCATGGTAGAGTTTGCTTTTGCGTTGGTGAGCAAACTGGATCTTATAAATAAACATTCCTTCAACGACTTCAAGCTCAGAGTGGGTGAGTTTTCCACCATGAAATAAGATGTTTTTGCTGCTTTATCACAACAAACACTCTCATCTACGTTACATCTCATCATGCAATGTTGTACCCCATGATATGAAGAGCATGGCGTTAGATTCATTCAGTTTGGAACATCAAAGTCATTTACAAATCATTGAGAGTAGTGAACAATTTCCAGCTGCCGCTAAGAGTTAAGTCTCAATACTGTGCGGCTGTCTGTCCCGGCTTGTCTTGCTCCATTAACTCAGCAGTTTGCCTGTATTGGCCAGTGCCTCCCTGCTGATTCCAGAGACTGAAATGCTTCTTCAGGGAAAGGCAAGAGTCTCCGCACACTGGGACACGACAAAAAACAGTATCTGAAGTGGAGATAAGTTACCAACATGAATAAACCCGAGTGCACAGTGCAGTATACAGCCTGTCACTCACTCTTATTTCAGTAATTGACAATTTCTTTTTATCAAGTGATTATTTTTATTGTCTATTACGGTTTTATTGAAACAAATAAAGCCGCAATATTAGCAAAACACAAAAATTAGTTTTTTTGTAAACCCTTCCATTGGCATATCTTGTTTTACAAAACCAGTCAAATCAATCGGTGAGGTCTTTTCCAAGGTACTGTAGTGTCGGTGTAGTGTCTGCAGTGGTGAGGAGGGAGCTGAGTCGAAAAGCATAATTTCTCATTAAAATGCTGCTAGTGACTTGGTCATTAGCAACGTTATTGTTGCTTTGTAATGGGTAATCAAGCCACACGGCGTAACAATTGAATTCCATGTGCCAATCCCAAGCTCTCATTATCTGAGAGAATTGTGTTGGAAGATGTTGAGTCAATATGTAAATTGAAGTTCTCTCAAAGGGACAATGTCTGTATGTTCTGTTTTATCAGGTATAAACCATGGTCCAGTGATAGCAGGAGTCATTGGAGCCCAAAAGCCACAATACGATATTTGGGGGAACACAGTGAATGTAGCAAGCAGAATGGACAGCACTGGGGTTCTGGGGAAGATACAGGTAAATAAAACAACAGACTTGTAAGATAATGGTAATCTCTTTCAAGTCGAATTTCTCAGACGATATTTTCAAAGCAGCCAAACCTAATCTGTCCTATTTTTAAACTTCAGTTTTAAATGTCAGCCCTGATGTAGAGATGAATTGCATTTCAGAGACATATGTATTATAAATGGTGTCTGGGACTGTGTTTGATGACTGATATGATAGAATGGGATGTTGCCGAAGAGACGTATGAGCAGGAAGCTGCTGGTCTCTAAAGGTAATACTCTTTTGATAGAGCCATCTGCTGTGCAGTCAGCAGCCACCCTAGGGCTTAAGATTGCTCCTTGGATAGCCTGTGGATTTTTATATGGAAATGGTTCAACAAAGACAGCAACAAGATTACACCAGCAACCATTTATTTTGTTTGCCATAAAAATAAAGGAATGACTTATATTCAAACACAGTAATAAATACAGCTGTTGAATCATGTAAGGTCTTGATTGATTGGGCAATGGACAACAATGATTCACGTTTCTAGCCCCACTTTATACATATAACATGAATGTTGTGTTCCTTCATCCTGTAGGTGACAGAGGAGACCAGAGGTATTCTCCTGGCCCTGGGATACATGTGCTCATGTAGAGGCATCATCAACGTCAAGGGCAAAGGAGAGCTTAAGACCTACTTTGTGCACACAGAGATGAGCCGCTCTCTGTCCCAAAGCAATGTAATGCTCTGAGACTTCGGAACATGCAGAGTTTCCACTGGACTGACAGACTATTTGTGACAGGAAATGTTTGTTTCTGTCTGAGCTATTAAATGAATAAAGAGAATACTACAGTAAATAGGACTGGAGCATCACAGCAGCTCTTTTCGCAGTAGAATACATTTAACACTTCTGTAAGTGAACATGTAGCATGTCCTGTGGCTATAGGCCACTTCTCAACTCATGGAGTGAATTCAATCAGTGGACTTCTATATGGGGATGGTTCAACATCATATGAGTAATATCGGTTCCTGACACTTGAGGATCCATTTTGGAATAACTTGGAAGAGATTAAAAAATCAATGAAGCAAATAGAATGTGTCCTCTGGGTCAGACTGAAAACGAAGCAGTAACTCCATACTATGTTTGAATGTTAAGCTACAGTTTAAATAACCAGACATGATCCTAAGTTGTACGTACAGTAAAAAGGGTAAAACACAAACAAATGAAAGGCCAAATCCACAGTGTGTACAGGGTAAATCTAGTATCTGTGTATATTTGTTTTTTTTATAAAAAGAAAATAATAGCAAAAAAGCAAAAAGTGTTTTGATGTTTTGATGATGCCTTGTTTTGTAAAAAAATAATAATAATAACACTATAATAAAATTTCTATGTATTTGTACCCCACTGTTTATTATTGTATGAGTTGGCTCCTGTGCATCGTGCACTGCCGTTTATTTGACGTCACAAAGCAGCGCCACGCCCCGCAGTATCCAGTACTCAGGAGGAAGTGCAGTTTTCAGATCAACTGCAGCAATGTAGTTTAAGTCAGTCCTGACCGGCTTCTTGTAGATTGGACACATGTAAAGATGGGGGTCTTTAACACCTAGGGGAAAAGAGGTATTACTGTATGAAAAATACAATTCCAACATTAGAACACATACATAATTACTCTTTAGACACTGTAAACTGTTAAGATTAGACCTTTACTCAAATCTAATGTCAAGAACTGGGCATCCAAGTCAGTTTGCCTGAAAAGAGTGCCACAAATCCCTGCTGATCAATCCTCTAAAAACAGCTGTATGTCTGGCATTTAAATGTTACATCTCAGAGACTGTGTGGGATGGAAACTTGGAAGTGACCAACAGCAGAGATTTATATGAATAAGGACAGACCACAACCCGTCACTCACCATTGTTTTCAGCATACATCCTTATAACAGGCATCATCTCAAACAGGACTTTTGGTTTTGAGTCGATGAGCTTGCTGCTGCGTCGGTCCCATCCGGCTCCCTCCAAGTAAAGGCCATAGACATAAACTCCCTCTGCTGGGGGCTGAGTGATGTCATCCTTCATCCACTTGGTCACCTCATTGCACAACACCATACGGTCCAGAGCCCAGCCCTTGTTTGCTCGTGTGATTTCCTTGAGTTAACAAATACCACAAATAATACGTTAAAACGGTGGTAATGTTGATGCCACACACATACAAACAGTATTCTCATGTACAATGACCAAAATAATTAAGTATTAGCAGTGTTAACATTGTTATCCCTAAAATATATATCTATAGACAGTCTGTCATTTTTGTCCACGGGGTTAAAGCTCTGGAACTCTTTAAGTCCTCAGTCTTGTCTGAACTCAGACTGGGCTAGTTTTAAACATAAACTGAAACATTTTTTTTTAAAACAAACCAGTTGTGTGAGCATTAATGAGTTGGGGGACGGCTGCCTTTGTATAATGTGTTTTTAATTGTGTTAAAAGACCCTTGTCCCTATCAAATAATAAATGAATAATTAAATAAAATTATCTAAGACTTGGGACATAAGCACAATCACACAATTAACTTTTGTGATATGTATGAGTTAAAAACTCATACATAGCTATTAGTAATGTTGTTTAATAACACAGGGTGTGATTACAGAAAGGATCATTATGCATATACAGTTCTAAGTACTTATTTTGAGGCAACTACATGGTGTAAATGTTAAAAGTCTAGGCTGTAAAATGATGCTTTTAAACAAAGGGAATATATGCATGTAGTTGTGTGTCTGTAGTGTATTCATGCTGAGCTGTGCGTGTCACTGAACATAGCGGTATGCCTGCATCTCGCCTCGTGTGCCATCTGCTGTCCTCTCTGATGGGAAGTAGCTGGAGGTAGAAGTAGTACCTGTCTCATCGCTGTCAGGAAACCCTGTGGGTTGAAGAAGCCAGTCATCCAGAAGCAGTTGGGGCGCCCTTCAAAAATCCAGGCCTGAAATTGTCGGTTCCGCTCAAGCAGCTCTGTGAACCAAAACCCCAGGGTGCTGGAGGCCCATGATGCCTGCGCAGGACAGACAAACAAGCACACAGGATCATCATTACAGCACAACAGAGAAACTGAAAAGATCTGAGAGAAGTCGACCGAGTGACAGCCCAATGTATGTATTATTCAACAGCGTAGAGTAAAAACAATATTCTGTACCACAGTGAATATAAAGTGACATAACATGAAGCAAATCAGGCTGCAAAAATGGTTATTTCAGCTTTGAAAATCTAAATTTAAAACGTACCTTCTTCCACCGTGCAGGAATGCGAGCATCATACATGCAGTCCAGAGCGTCTCGTAGGTTTTCACTCATGATTATAGTCCCGTCTATGGCCAGTTTGAGGTCCGTGAGGGTGTTTCTGACCAGAACAATGATCCTCTGCATCCGGTCAATCTCCTGACGTAAGAATATGTTCATGGGCTGGAATGGCCCCATCTTCTGCAGGCGGTCCCTCACCTAGTACAGTGGTCAAAAGAATAATGATAAAGTCATGTCAGAATTTTCTCATTTTCTTATGCTGTAAAAGACTAAAGAGTGGACTTCAAGTACTTTTCAACAGGTTTTGCTCTGGCTTCAACATCAGCACAAATAAAAGTAGGTGATATTTCATTCTTGTGGTGTTGATATTCAAACATTTAGACACCGTCGTCAGCAGAGGAAGACATTAAATATGGAGTGCCTAACTTTTGTTTTTTTTCTACATACATTTTGTTTGTTCCAACAGGGAAACCCTTGTGTCGTGTTCAAGTAGGTCTCCTTCGAACAAATCAGACCCCAACATGCTGTCTTCATCTTTATTAGAAAACATGTTATTGTATTCATACTGAGAGCTGATTGGCTGCGTGAAGGCTGGTACTCTTCTTTTCACCAAAAAGCAGAGATAAAGACGTGACCGAGGCAGAACCAAACTGTATTAGAGCCAGTAGTTAGTTACATGAATACATTGTTAATTTGTTTTGGTTTTAATGAATATGGAAACATTATGAGTCCAATCACCAGAATAGTACAAAATCAGAAACCAAATGGTAAAGTCACAGGTTTTGTACTTAAAGTAGAAATATGTATGCATGTCAAGTCATCATTAAATGGGCCTAATATGTCTTCTTTCCTTATTATGCTAAAGACTTTCTTTTTTTGCGAGAGTTAGATATTTTTATTTAATTATCTTGTGCTGTGTGCTCCTCATTCCTACTGCTCTGTAACAAGAGGAACACTGAAATTTCCCCACTGTGGGACAAATGAAGTCTTATTCTTAAAGCAAATATGTCATGATTTGATGATATGTCAGTACATCGGTGCAGGTGGTATGGATGGATGAAAAACATTCCTGGACTGGTACTTGTAGAGGGACTTCACACTTCGCTATCACCCCTGCGGCAGCTCACACATCTCTCCACACAAACCTCAAACGGCACGTAGTCGGGGGGCAGTTTCTCCAGCATGTCGTCAGCCAGCCTGGACACCACCGCCTCCCTGGTCTCACCCCCACCAGAGGAGCTGTCTTTGGGCTGGATGCTGAGAATAGTGTCCAGCACGTCTTTCGCCAGTTTGCTCTGGTAGGTGATGTCAGCATTTGGGTGGAGTCCAAATACCTCTGGGGTGTCGTAAGATGGCAATCCCTGTAAAAAATCGATTGAGTACAATTTTACGAATTGGAAATTATGTATAGTTGTAGTCACTAATATCTGCATAATTATTCTTCTACTTTTTGCCTACTAAACAGTCCTATTCAATTAGTCAGTTAGTTAGTATTTTTAGTCAACCAGAAAATGTCTTTTATCACAACTGTCTGTCATATGTCCACATGATCCAATATGGTAGTCTGTTCTTGGATCCAAATCAGACCAAAAATCTGATTTGATGGCATTGAAAAAGCAGACTTTTAGTCCTAGATTTTATACGCAGCTAAATTAAACATTAGTATTTGACGAAACTTAACTTTAGTCGACAACAATATCTTTGTCACAGTTTTGTCGACAAAAATCAATGTAATTTGAGACATACTTTTCTCCATGATAGGTTTCTCAGCGACAATATGGAATTGAATCATAATGATCAATAAATATGTTTTTCTACTACATGATTATAATTTGTAAATAAACAAATTAGGCAAAAACATGCAAACTGTCTGAAAAATACATAGTCCCAAATGCCTTCAATCTCTGCTCAGCTCTCTATATAAAGTCTGGACCAGACACAATATCATGAGAGATTTATTGACAGTTTCCAGGAGCTTTGGGAATGTCCTAGTAGAATGTCATGAATCTATAATTATAATAAATGAATGCAGCACTTTTCTCATGTGCATACTGTATATACTGAACATGTGTGTTGATGTCCAGTATACACAGGGCTGTTGGTTTGAGAACCAGTGCAGGGGAAGCCTTGCAGCAGAGACCATCCATCATATTGATGGCTGTAATGAAACTGGTTTGGTATCTGCCTCTAGATACACACATGACAGATGCACATACACCATAACGTAAAGTGATACATCCAGTAAAATTAAGATCAAATATAAAACTTTAAAGGCACACCGTGTAACTCTTGGCCACTAGGGGCGCTAGACCTGCAACTTTCACGTTTAGCGCCCCTAGTGGCCACAAGCAACTCAGCACTGTCGCAAAAGTCAAACAGTCAGCCGGTGTCTTTTGAGTGTGTATTCAGACAGCATGCACTGGTGTGTGTGTTCAAACTGTAGAGACATGCCTACAGATATTGAGAGACTCTGCTGTGGTCAGCCTCCAGACCGCTGCATTAGTAATCTACCACACATGGACTTCTATATCCTGGATGAGGGAGTTCTGCGTCTAGCTCGTGCTGCGTGGAATGACATCGTTGCGGTCGATGACATCCAGGAACCAGGTGAACAGCAGCGCTCATACAGACATGCAGCTTACAGCACGATCCCTTTCGCGTTTCCTCTTTTTAGCCTCCTCCAAAGGTTTAAAATTTTTCCTTGCCTCAGCCATGACCAGGAGTCGAGCAGGTGAAAAATGAGTAGCAAAAGCCTTAGCTCCATGAGTATATCAGCGCCTGTAGCCGTAAAGCAAGTCTTTCTTCCAAGTCACGTGACCTGGTGGCAGACGGTCCGTCTGCTCGAAAGTTACATGGGCGGTATTTCAAGAGGGCAGCCCCGCCCGGAGCATTGCAAGTGTCAAGCGCTGTATATTGGCCCAAGTATTCATATAAAATAACTCATATGTGTCAACTCTTTAGGTCACAAAGTCCGCGGTGTGCCTTTAATGAATTAATGAAAGAATAAAATATTTAAACAACATAACGCCACTTTTTCTTGTATGCTTTTCCAATGGAACTATTGTTAAGATGCCATGCAGGAGATGGCAAAATATAGCATTTTGCACATGCTTTCAAATGAATACTTTAGTAGAAAGATTTTAGACTTAACAGAGCTGACCTGAATGTATGTGAGATACTGCTCTACATTGATGCATTTGGGGATAGTGTAATCCTTGTAGAAATTAAAGCTGGGTCCAAACATGTCCTCGCTGAACCACACTTTGGCAAAAGTATTGAGAAGGCGCTTGTCATAGTCGTCTGTCACACGGCCTCCATATTGAATCTCTCCGATCATGTAGCGAACCGTGTTCCAGGACACACCCTGTAAAGAAAAATAACCAAACATCTTTATTTATTTTGGGATCAGTAATGGTCAGTAATCAGATTCCTAAAGAGGGGGTCGGAACCAAATACTGGGAGCACAAGATGATTTTAAGGCTTTTCACTGCTTTGCACCAATTACTTGAACAATAATTGCCTTGTACTTGAGAAGAATAACACAAATGGCCCCAATAAACATCCGTAGAATGATTTAGCATGTTTTAAAACTTCAAGTTAATAGTGCTACACTGAATTGCTGATAAACACATTTGTTAACTACCAAACAACACCAGAATACGAAAGAAATGCACTAGTGTTAAGAAACCAAACATTTTAATGAGAACAATAATACCCATGTAATAATTAGAATAGATCTTGATTAGCATGATTAGTTTTCTTCAAATGAATGTACTTTATACTGACCTTTTTTATGTCAATGTCATCCAGGTGGTTCTGTACAAACTGAATTGTAGCGTTAAGATCAGCCTGGTTAAACTCATATGGGATATTCCAGCCCAGTGGCCCGTACTTTCTCCTCTCTTGAACAGTACTGTGGAGAAATGCTACTCCATAAAGCATTGGTTTCCACTGGACCATATTGCTGACATCCAAAAGGTCCTGGTTAATACCTGGAGACAGACACAGACAAAATAGAGTTCAAATAAACTTACGGCACCGATTTCAAAACTCATAGCAAAGTTACATCCAGTGGCTTAAAAAGTTATACTATGTTTTTAAAGATGGCAGAGTAATGTGCTCAGTGAATCTGTCTTATTGAATTTATTGCACTTCTAATAATGCTAGTCTGCAGTTTTCTTCTGGAAACAGCCTGCTTGGCATCGTCGCAAAATCTCTAAAGGAAGTTGGAAAATTGCCAGAGAGAGTTAAACAAAAAAGAAAACCTTTCACAAACCGAATTCAATTTCCTATAAATAAATAATGAATTCTCGTACCTCCATAAGTCCTCTTGAGCCCCGCCTTGAGCCCTTGTGGCGGTTCGTTGGTGAACTTGATTGACATTTGCAGGAGGGTAATAGGGAACTGCTTGTGAACCTCAGTTGTTATCCACAACCGAAAACTATCATGGACCGACTCGGTCTCGGTCATTATGTCCATCAACTCATCCATGAAGTCCAGTCCCAAGTGGCAATTCTGAAGCAATGCCCAGCCTCCCTACAAACAGAACAATGTTTATATAGAGAGATGCTCTGGCGAAGTTGTGTCTGTGGAGAGGCAAGTCAGAACACACTGTTGTATAAGCACGAAAATCATCCATAATTGAGGAATGCTTGTTTAAAACCGAACTGAGTGGCATTTTATATAACACATATATTACAAGAATCACCACCAGAACAGTTGCACCTTTAAACATGCAGTATTAAAAAAAAGAGAGAAATTAGTAGATGTACTGAAAAGTTTTAAGCTCACATTGGCCATAGTCTGCTGCAGAAGTTTGCGAGCATGCACTTCTTGTCCTTGCCCCATGGAAACATATCGTGTTTCAATTTTCAGTCTCTTCCCTAGAGCAATGATTGAGTCTGTTGGGTCTGAGCCCATTGAGAGGAAACAGATCAGCGGCGTCCGAGGGTCTGCTTCCTCCCAGGTCTTCTCCAAATCCAGCATCACGCCTTCTGTGTATTTCTCCCCCATCGAATCCTTTATGTATTTTCGAGCCTGGCAGGAATAGGGATGCAGCCAATATGAAAATATAGTCAGGCACCAAAGTTTGTTTACTACTTTAAGATGCAAAATACTGCAGGGAAACTCTCAACCAGCATTAAAAACACACTTGAAACAAAAATATGCAACTGCAGTTTAGTTTCTTGAATGTCATAAAAGGCATAATCACTTCAAAGGATATTTGATTAACTGGCTTACAGTTTTACACTCAAGGGTGCATTCAGTCTAGCAAATAGACCACATCAACTATGGGACTACAAACTGGAGCAGAATCAAAACTTCTTGAACAAAGCCAGAGCTGAACCAGAATGTCTTGTGCTGGACTAAAACAAGACCAAACGTAGTAGTTTTTTTACCTGTGCAATTGTTCTATCCGGACACCAGCAACGAATGAGGAGCAGGCGTCGGAAACAGTCCAGTGACTGGTCATAAGAGTTGGGGAGCACCTCCTCTTCAGGAACTTCTTTGTCAAACCAAGTTTTCCATGGTTTCTCATTACGAGTTATCTGAAAGAATTAAATGTCCAATGTTGCATGAAACACAAATAAAAGTATTTATTATGTTTGTGATTAGAGAAATGGTAGGTGGAGGTTTGGACAGACATCATTGACCCCTTCTGAGGCTTCGTCATCAGGGACAGTGCATCATGGGAGTTGTTTACACCAGCAGGACGTAGACCTGTTCTGGTTGTTCTAATCCCAAACAAGTTCAAGCATACCAAGGGACTCTCAGCAGTCTCATAGAAACATAAGCAAAATAGGTCTGGCTTCTTTTAAGGGCTAGTGTTAGCATCTTATCAACCAGGAGGACTGGAGCGATGACACCATCAAGAATATATGTTTATTGTGGCCACATAGACCTTAAATCAGGTACGTTCCATACAAACACTTAACGGGACTTTGGCCGATTTGGTTACACAAATCCAGTTGACCACTACCGGTGGGGGCGGGTCCCAGCTCAAAAGTGGCCAAAATGACGTGCGCTGACATGCTTGCAATACCACCCCGGGCCGATGGGGGTGGACCCAGAAGAAGAATTAGCCAATGCTAACATATAGCGTAGGCAGACCTCTCAAAAGTGTCTTTACAGGATGGACCAAAAGTTGGCTCTTGACCCAAAGCTCCGTTCCACATGTGTGTCAATGCTGAGGGGAGTGGATTGTTTTGGACCACTCTAGTTTACTTGCTGTGAATTTTTGAAGTCTCTCGTTCAAATGAATGGAGCTGCGCCGGCTGACGCATGCGCAGGTGCGTTTTTTCACAATTTTCTTGTGGGCGGGACCACTCGAGGCCATTTTGGATAGCTCCAGTAGAGCACATTTTTTGGCCCATTAGTTAGAACGGCGGAGATAGACGTGACTCTGTCCGTTAATATATACAGTCTATGACCACTACACATTATTATATAATGGTGTAGTGTTTAGTATTGTCATGAATGATGACTTTAGTTTTTACAAACTAAGTTAATTTCACAGGACAATGAGCTGTCAGCCACAGAGATGTGCATTAAACCAAGAGCGACAGAAACTCTCCTGTGTGAAAAAGACAGAGGCGTGCCGAACCAGGATGTGAAGACTTTGGAAAGACAGAGGAGAGGAATCTTCAATAAGCAGAGAGACCGCTAGAGAATCTAGATGTGTCAGTGAGGTGGAAACATTCTATCTCAAGGACCATTAGTCAAATCTGTCTCAGCTAAAAAGAGATTGTGTAGATATCAATAATGTGTGTGCGTGTGTGTGAGAGTCTGTGTGTGTGTGTGCGCCTGTGAGTATGTGTGTGTTCTGTACCTGATCAAGAATATCTGAAAACTGCCATAGTTTGCTCAGCTCCACCAGGTTGAGCCATGTCATATCCAGGATCCATTTTGCTGGTTTCTGAGGACAAGCTTTGAGGTCCAAAGAAGCACCTCCTGAGGGTGGTTGCAAAGACACAGACAAATTTAACCGTAACTCGCTATTGTATTATTATGTTATTATGTTATCTATACGTTCTCTATAGAAGCAAAGTATTTCAAACTGTACACATTAGCATCAATGTAACACTAAAGTTGTAATGTTACCTTTGATGAGAGTCAGAAACTCATCATGTTTGACCTTGCTGCTCTGCATGTCAATTTTCAGGCTTAAAAGCAAAGTGAAGAGAAACTTGTGCTCCTCATAAAGCCCCCGTGCTGCATATTTGTAAACTTCAAAGGTCATAAACTCAATGATGTTGGCGATTCGTTTGCTGGTTATTGGACTTTTGAAGGATCTTAGAGTAAGGAAAAACACATGTATTTAGTCATTTAATACCTTCTAATGTTAGGAATTTGAATAGTGTTATACATTGGGGCTATACTGTACATAGTTGCATCACATGGATTCAAAATACCTTGCCAGAGAGAGGTCAAAAAGCCCCAAAAACTGCCGTAACGATGTTTGATACATGACGTTGACCATACTCATCTCTGTGATGAGGAAGTAGAGAATACTGCCTCGAGTGGCCACTGGAAAGAGAAAGAATAAGGCTGTGGTTGGTATGATGGGAAACCTTGTATTCGTTTATGAAAAAACATTTTCTGGAAATCATCAAATTTCACCATTTATTTTAGATCATTGAGATATGAGCATAAAAAATCGACACACAGTGCATCCTACCTGGTCTGTACTCTTCTCTGGCAGCGTTTATCTGGACCTCAGTTTCAGCTGCAATCTGCAGTTTCTGAGTGACCTCTTCAGCAGTGCGCTTAGTGTTTCCCAGGACAGCAATCAGGCTCTCATCATCCACAAGTGATCCCTGTAAGCAACAAGTAAAAGGTTACCCCACCATTTTCTTTCAACATTAACAAGTACATAGTTGATTGTAGATTTTTTACCTGTGTGCTGGTCAGTCTGTAGAGAAGGTTGTCCTCCAGTTCCTTCATCTTCCTTTTGTTTGATGTGACGTCTTCCAGGAGGTCTGTCCTCTCCTTCTCCAGTTCCTGTGGTCAAATGAATACAAAACCAGACTCTGTGATTCTTTAGACATTTTATACATATTGGTTGGATTATTGAAACAACTGCATTTCCCGTTCCTGTGAGGGGAGCTATTCCAAACGTTTCAAGATTTCTTGTAGGTATTCAATGTTTTTGAGCCTAGTGTTGTAATAAATCACAAACTGCAATGGTCAGATTGATAAATAGTCAATAACACTCATATTGGTATAAATAAGTATTTTGAATGAAATGTTTTTATGTTGGAATATCCACAACATACTGAGGATCCACAGACACCTTCATCCATCTTGTGTGTATCTTTCATGAATGACTTTCATATTGTCTGCAGTGTGAATGGAGAAACTCAAATGAATATCCAACCTCATAACACAGGTGAAGTTAATTGCGGTGGAGAAGTCTTTATATATATTTCCAATGCACAGTGAATAAAATAGTCCAACCTTTAGTAAGTAAGTAATATTATTTATACAGCGCTTTTCACAGACTGAGGCAATAGTGTCTGTTTTCCATTGAGTGTTTTTGTACAACGGCAACAATAATGACTAAGAAGAATGACTCCTGTTCTTGAACCTAAACTGTGCCTACTGCTCTTTCTATATTTGTTTCATGTGCGCGTGCAAACTATTTATAGAGGTGCAGTTGTTGTTTCTTTTTCCTCTTCCGGCTGAGAGTGATAATGATTGCCATGTACTTTATTCAAAGGGTGATAATAACCTCAGTTATATTCTGACACACTTTGGGCTTGAGAGAGACAGCTACGCACATAGCAGTGAAAGGTGTTGAAAGCTTGCATCAAAAAGATCTCAATAGGCCTTTCAGCAGAAAACCAGCTCTAATAATTGGTTTCTAATCAGTGCTGGAGCCATTATTAAAACAAGCACAAATGACTACGTAATATAATACAGTGCATTTTCTTTCAGCAGAGTTCAGCAGAGTTTCAGCACTCTTTCAGATGAGAAACACACCTGTTTCTCAGTGAGAATGACCCTGCCCAGTAACTGGTCCTCCAGGCCCCTCATGGTGACCGTGAAGTCGATGATAGAAGAGCGTGCGCTGATCTCTGGGGTGTATGCAGGGTTCGGCAGTTTGGTGGTCATGTAAAGCCGGAATCCTTTCATCACATCCACCTCTTTATCACCCACTTTCACCTGCACAAATAAAACATAATGTATCATCAGTAATCCACACATACAATAAAAATTTATTGATAGAAATTCAGTTCAGTGTCTTTTCTTTTCTGTAATAGCATAGCTGCCATGGTACACGCTCCTATTCATCCTTCTTACATTTTCTGTTCAAAGTAGGCATAAAAATAGAAAAAGGAGCAACTTAAGGGACACCTCTAATCTGGTTTCACAGCAGCTCTAGGAGTTTTTTTGAACACATTTGTCGTATAGTGCTCACTTGCTGTGACAAGTGGTTCTGTGTCTCCACTGGCACAACATGTTCCTTGTGCATAATTATGCATCCCATGGAAGATGTGGATCAAATGGACTTTAAGTTTACAGCATATGCTGCATTATTGTAGTTCAATGCGGCCATGTGGAAAAGTGTGCACACTACCTTGTACGTGGAGCCAGTCTTAATGAAATTCTTCTCCAGGATGTTGTCCAGAGCAGGATCTAGTTCTTCCTCGACATCTTCAATTAAGAGTGGTCTTCCAATAGACAAACTGTCCTCCAAGTGGTTCTTGAAGTACTTATGGTTCAGTGAAGTGATCTTGGAAAGGGAACAGTGATAATATCACATATAATATATCAATCAAACTTATACCAACCAATATTTGAGGTCCTAAAACTGCATTAAAAAAAATATATATATATGACAACTTAGAAATTATGATAGCGTTTCAATATTCAACACAATAGGTAATAAAAGATCTATAAAACACATTGTAACAACAATAAATGAATAAATGTTTCCTCTGGGAGCCGTATCTGAGTGTGCCCTTTTGATCCCTGGCTGCATTGGGAATCACAAGGCTGAAACACACATATTATGTGAAAATATTTCTGAGAGAATGGTAAATTGTAGTATTGTGCCCTGTAACCTTCTGTAATAAAAGCAGAAGCAAACACTTACAATTGTGAAAAATATATGTAAAGCAATTGTGCGCAAGTAAATGATAACAATGTACGCCACGGTATTGTAGATTGTTCAAGGCTCCACACTGATTCCACCGATACAAAATAAAACAACCATTGCATAGTCATGGTATAGTGCAAACTTTGTTGTAAAAGCAACCTGCAACTCATTCTTGGCCTCTTTATTCTTTATCCAGATCTTTCCTTGAGTCTGTGGGTCAATAAGAAGCGGGAAGCGGGCAGCTTTGGTGACAATAATGCCGTTCTGAATGGACAGGTCATCATTGGGGAGCCCCTGTCAGAGGAAGACAAATTGTAGTGAGGTTCTACAGCCTATTCTGTAAACATTATCAGATAAATGGCAGGAAGAATTAAGTATGGATTTTCATCATGGAGAGAATGCAATAACAAGGCTACAGACATGCTGAGAATTTAGCAAAGTGTGGATGAAAATCCTTTCATAAAAATAGGGACGTATACCTGTAGGTTCCACTCGCTCACAGTCGGGGAATCAATCAGCAATTCAGTGAGGTTTAGATTGTTCCCAAATGGGATGTGTCGCTGTTTCAGCTCCCTTTTCCAGTCGTACATTAAAAGATTTCTGAACTCTTGATTGAATGGCCCTGAATAGGACAGGAAAGCTGTGGCCAGAAGGACGTCACCTAAAGGAGATTTCGTTTTAGATTGACTTTCCTAGATTAGTTATTTATAGGTTGTGTGAAGACGGTCTTCTTGTCGGCTTGCAAAACCTACCGACAAGACGCTTTGTTTGAGCTGCAAACTCTTTACTTTGCTCAGTCCACCTTTCCTTCTCTCCAGCCAGACCACTTATCAGGCTGGAGGCTGTCTGCATCTTGTGTCTACAGCGCTCAGCATCCTCCAGTAAGGCCTGTAAAAATAGCAACAGTCAGAAGAGCTGGTTGTTTAGACATTCACAACCTATTTTCGTATATAATCTCACAACAAATATTTTATAGATACATCCCAAATCCCATTTCAGTTATACATATCTCATAGGCTTGCTTATGCTATCAGTGTGAACACATGTTAAAACTGGAGATTATAAAAAGTTACTGGCTCTAAGACAGTTTGAAACAATCCCTAGTTTTCACAATCATGTCTTTTAGGATTCTATCGCATTCTTATAATCTCTTTCAGACAGAAATGGGAAAAGAAGAGGACCACCCTTACTCAGTCAATCAGCTCTAAGCCCTCCGGCACAATTAGTGACTCACATGGCTTTTGCTTACAAGGATGCAAGAAATAACATTCTAATAAGATGAAGACAGCATGTTGTGGTCTGATCACAGCCTTTTACTTTAACCAGATGCAAACAATATAATATAATACTGAAAAATAGAAGTAAGATACCCCAGCTGTAAAGTTGAAATGACCCAAACATTCTAACTATAAAGAATAGACATGTAGAATGAATCACTTTCTTATACCTGTTTTTCCGTCATTGCTTTCTCATAGTCGCCCTGGACCACATCCAGCTCTGCCTGTTTATCATCTAACTCAGCTTGAGCTTTCTCAAGGTCCAAATTAGCGAGAGCAAGACGATTCTGCTGCACTGCCAGGTTAGCCTGATGAAGAGAAGTGAGAAAAATAACATTATACCGTGCATTGTATAACTGTCTATAACTGTTGTACATCATGACCCAGAAACAAGCAGTTTTGGGGAAATACTATAAGAATAATAAGAATAAGAAAACTTTATTGTCCACCAAGGTGGAAAATTGCCTTTGGTTATCACCTTAAAATACATAAAAGACACACATCCAGCACAGTATCATGTGCATCATGTGTATAAATATAAATGTATTTAGTGACAGAATACTGAATACCTGCTTTAAAAAGTATAGCATATTATTGTATAGCAACAGTTACAGGTTAAGCTTATTTCATTCATGCTTAAGAGCTGAAAAAACAGTATAAGATAAAATATTTAACAAAACAAATATTTAACAAATCTAACATTGAGAATTAATATTGTACAATCTGACTGTAGTTGGAAGAGCAGTTTGAGGCAATACATTCAAATTGGAATAAGAATAGTAATAGTGCAGCATACTGTTTGTTATGCATTTATTTGTTGTTCTAATTTTAATAATCAAAAGGGTCAAGCAGACTCATGCACCACTAAAAGCGCTGCATTCATTAGGGTTTGCTTTTTTTTGAAAAATCTTGCCTGAATTACATGATCAAATAAATCAAGTATTCTGAACACATGTTAAAAAGCAGTATCCTGAATATGTATTATCCAAGCCTACTCCTCCACTGCATGTTCACCTTACCTTTTCAGCAAGTTAATTATGTAAATGAGTTGAACAAAATAGCACAGTTCATAAATGTTATGTCTGACTAGTGTGTATTCACTGTTTGGATTAGGAGGATGACTAACCAACCATTTAAACACGGGCATTAGGAAATGTTTGGCTTTCTTGAGGCTCTGCATAAACTCCAGCCACCAGAAGGCCCATTTAGCAGCAGGCGATAACAGCTGAGCCAGACAGATGAGAAAATGAGGGAAGCAACAAGAGGGAATGAAAATTAGGTAATAACAATAATAAGAGAGAAACAGAAAGAAAGGTCATCACCAGTCAAAGTCACGGTGAACTCTATTCACAAAAGCAATTGCATTCAGCCGGCACTGTATTCTGCAAGCATTAAATGAGCCTCATGCACTGGGCTCCCACAGGCTGCACCGGCAACAAGGCAAATCAAGGCAAGATTTGAGACAGTTATGTTAATTTGCTGGTTTTGTAAGCAGGACAGAGGACATATTAGCAGTTGAAAGAAGCTCACAATGTTGAATTAAATTGTGCTCTGGATTTAATCAAATCACGAGATAGACTTTTAACAATTTGTTTTCATTACTGTTATATTTCTGAATAAGGTTCTGTGAAAGGTAATTGTGTTTCAGTTAAGGACCTTGGTGTGCTTGATTGTCCACCTATACTTTGCCCCATTACTCTCACGAGGACAAATTACATAAAGTTCAAACGCAGGGAAATGAACACGGCTATTAAGGGCTATTAAACATATCCAGAGCGACCTTCGGAAGCAAGAGGAGATATCCAAAGAAGGGGGTGCCAAAGGAACCCTTATACCCATGGACAAATCCATTCAAATCAGGAGGCCATAGAAAATGTTTTTTTACTTGAGCGAATAGTTACTTAAGAAAGAGTGGAGTTATAGTTGTTATACACCACATTAGAAAAGTTATACATTGCTGCAGTATACTATGGGTTTGGATATCTATCTTATTGATGTTATGCATGGTCTATTCACTAGAAGTAAAATTATATAATTGGTATGTCCTCTGTGATTGTAAAGAATTATTCAATGGTCAGAATTATTAATGCGGAACCTTGTGCTCTTCCACCTCCTTTATACCTTTGAACCTAATTGGTGGATTTTTCACTTAATAAGGCAAACGCAAATACAGCCTCTGTATATGTAATATTCTGAATACCTTGAAGCAGACATTATTTTATTTGCAATAGCGTAGTATATTTACTATTGTAATGTTGTGTAAATCTTTAGCTAAGCAAGAATTAGCTGTGTGTGTTTCAAAAGGGAAGGTCTCAAATTCCCTATCCTTTCTGAGAGGGGGTTGAATTCCAAGGGATATGTGGACATTAACACTGAATATTACCTTCAATGGAAGAACTTCCTTGTTAATGGAGAAAAAAGAAGCCATTGCTTTGGTCCATGACGCAAGACCAGCTACATTGCCGCAGACTCTCTTGGCAGTTTCAATATTGTAGTCAGGCATTTCAAAATAGGGCTGCAGAAGCTCCACCATTTCCTCATTAATGGAGTCTTTAGGGAATTGCTAGAAGAGAAGAGAACAAAAAAAGATGCAGAAAAGAGTTAAAGTAATGGACTCAGCACAAGTCGAATACAATTTTAACACATGAAAGCACAATATTATATAATCCCTGGTGTTTGTTCTACCTGCAGACTGCCCAGAAAGTTCCCCGCAGTCATGAGCTTTAGGGACTCCTGCCATGATGGTGTGTTGCAGTTTTTCTCCGGGTCGATTTTGACAGAATTGACCCTTCTCTGAAACAGCAGCAGCACGCAGTCCATTATCCGCATAATGAGATGAGGAGGTCGGCCAAGCGTTCGGACAGTGGCAATATCCGATGGCTTGATAGTCTGGATGCACAAAACAAAGTCCATAATTTTAGTCTTGCACCATGGAGGCCATTTAATACAATAACAGTAATGTTTGGACTGGACTGGGGCTAATAGCAGCATTGCACTATATTCGGAAAGATAGAGAAGCAGCAGAAAAAGCCGCTGAGGAATGATAGCGTTTGACAGCTTCAGGACTAGTGTGATGTCCTCAAGAGACTCATTAAAATTAGTCAAACAGCAGGAGAATCACAGAGACTCCCAGAACCCTTTTTTCTTACTTGTCCCATTTTCACCAGGCTTTAACAACTCTAGTGGAGCAGATCTATGCCACCAGAGAGTTATCCAGTGGAAAACTCTAACGTTGTTTCTATAACAAACTAGGGTACGTCTATTTCTTTTTAAACTGTGTGCACTTGTGACTGTGTGGCTTGTTCACAAGATTACATTATACTGCATGTATGTCCATATTTTTGTTTTCAATGCAACATGGTATATATTCTCAGTTTCCTTACCACTCATGTACTTATCTAACCTCAATCCCAAACTAATTCTGTGTTTAATCATAAATCATCTTAGTATATATTTTGGAAAATAATAATTCAAATCAAGTAAATGTGATCACGTCTTCAAAACGGCACTATGATTGATGTTTGCGGCTCATCATGTGCCTTAGGCAGATTGTGTTTTTATCAAGATAATCATGTATCTGCCGGGAGAAATATATATGCATCTCTGTAGCCTGGAGGATAGTTTTAATTATCACACCACTTTGTGGCCCTGAGATAAATGCTAACTTTAGACACGCAAATACAATTATGCCAGAGCATAGATAGAGGTCACATATCTAAACCTTGATAAAACTACATTAAGCATGCAATTGATTACAGAAACTGTGTAATACATTTATTTTATTGAGTTACTTTACCTGCAGTGAAGCCTCAGCCTCCTGAAGCGCTGGTCGAGCGGCCTCTAATTTCTCCTCTGCAATGGCTTTGTCAGCAGAAATACTGTCCACAATTGCCTGAGCCTTGTCCTTTACTTTTTGGACTTCTATCTTTACACGCTCTGCTGCCTGTGCTTTCACTGTCACTTCTTTCAATACCTGTTGAATTTAAGATACATTTTAAATTTGAGAAAAATAGATATAAGGAACAAAAATGATAAGCATTTGCTGTGACTAAAACATATGTTCTGTTTCCTAATGTAAATGAGGAATATAGTCAATAAATGCACATTGCATATGCTAGAATGAGTCACGCACCATATCAGCCTTCTCATTAGCGACTTGTAGCTCCTTCTCTTTCACCTCGAGCTCTTTACTCAGAGCAGCCACCGACTCCGAAGCTTCCTTCAACTTTTTGAGACCTGTGTTCATTCTGAATTTTTTTTTTAGTTTTTGTTAACTACAGTATGTTTGACTATTAAACGTTAATAGGGCGAAAATATCCTGTAATAACTTTACCTGTTGGCTAAAGTTTGCACCTCAGTGCGTTTTTCTTTATAAATGGCTTTATATCCCTGGATGAAGGACAGGTAGGACTTTGGTGTTACATGAGTGGAGCGTCTATACCTAAGTATAAGTAATGCAAATGCAAATCCATAAGTAATGCAAACAATTTTAGACAAAGAATAAATTAAGGTTTACTGAACATTAGAACATGAATTTTAGCATACCTTTGGAAGTAGTCCACACACTTTTCAGCCACACCATCTTGAAATGAGCCCATGCACTGTACAACCTCACTTTTGACTTGTAGAGAGCAGTCAATGTCATAAAGAGAGAGGAAGTGCTGCGACACTGCCAGAAGGAAAGTATATATACCATTACATTTTTACACACGTTTCAATCCATTCTTCATGCTCAATACTTTGAAGACCTTTTCTTATATGACATCAACATACCTGCCACCAGGGCGTCTTTGGGCCAGCGGCTGAACCAGTCCATGGTGCAGCCTGATATGAGCGCTGGAAACTTTAAAGCTCGATTGCGAAACTTTTCCCCAACAGGAGAAAAGCACAAGACAACATGGAGATTGTGTCTGACCCGAGACATGAAGTATTCATATAAGTTTTCATTGGTTGGAGGTCGTCTGGGAAACTCTCGCTTCATCACTGGGATTAGATCACTAAGGATTTCATCAATTTCATCCCGAACAAACAGATTTGAAACCTGCAAATACAGCATGAGTTGTGTTGAGAGATGACATATATTTTATTGTGGGGCACTGACCTCTCCAGACGACAGCACATTGTTCATATACTCCAGGAAAGATTCCTCTTTGATTTCATTATCTGTAAAAATGAAGCTAATGCCTTTCCCATGTTGACCAGCTGTCCTGTACAACCCCTTCAAGTCATCCATCAGGTTGGCTGTGTTATATGACCTAACACACACACACAAACACACAGTTACATAATGTATAATAAACACATCAGAATCACAAATAAAAAAAGGAATTTACCGAGTTAATGTAATCTGGAAAATCTTATATCCCGCAATGAATGAGGCCAACCTGGTTAGGCTCTGTTTGCCTGAGCCCCCGACACCCACGAGCAAGGCGTTTCCTCCTGAGGTCCTGATGATTCTTGACACCTACATGCATAAAATCAAACTTTGAAGGATGCTGAAGATTACAAACATTGTAATAGGAAGATCAAACAAATATTGAATAAAAAATAATCTCTCCAGTATATGCCCGAACAACAGAAGAAGATTGAGTTACCTTGACCAAATGTATCATAGCATCCTGGAAAAACACCATATCCATACTCGTCCCTCTGATGCTCTCATTGAAGAGGGTCAGGAACATGTTCAGCCGATCTTTCAAACTTTCAAATGACTCTATTTGCTCATACACTTTGGGCAAATCAAAATCTGAATCCTCTGGCTCTTCACCTAAAACATAAATACGTAAATACTACATTGAATTGATGTTGCTCTGTGATTTGTTTGCAGCCCTGACTGCCACCCCCGACCCAGAAATGGATTAAGGGGAAGAAAATTGATGGGTAGATGTAAGGATACTATATTGACTTGGTTCTTACCTGTTGCTTCTGGTGCATCTCGTAAAAAGTCCACAAAGAACGAGTCAACTCCATAGTCCACCACTTTTTTGTCTTCCTCTCCGAGTTTGTCCCCCACCACTTTGGCCAATGCCTGGTCAAACCACTCCACGTCTTCAGGCATTGTAAATCTGTCAGCTATCACACGTTTGCACTCATGCTTCCACAAGGCCAGCACCACCTGAACGTTTATGAATATAGAGTTATTATAGCCATAGGAAAATTAATTCTGATTTCCTACACTTATATTACTGTTACAAACCAGCTACTGGAGTTAACGTAGAAACCGCACAAACTCAATGTATTACATAAAACTAATTTCTTGTATCTGCTTTGATTTATTTGCTTTGATGTCTCTCTCAACATAAATATTGTGGACATCAAGTCCATTGTAAAAAGGCAAATTTGATTTACACATACATTTTCTGGGGACAGATATAATAGATGTAAAAATGAAACTATCACATACTGTCTCATTAACTACGTTACATCCACAAATAAAGCATTTTTTCTATAAATATGTTTACTCCCGTTTCTCTCCAGTGGTCTAATGTGTGTATTTATAATGTGCTCCTTACAAAGTATTTGAGAAAAAGGTGGTTCACAGAGACATGTTTGTTTAAGTTAATTCCCTCACCTCAGTTGAAGTGACCACCTCGGAGGTTGTGTTAAGCATTCCCTGCCAGACTCTGGACAAATCCCTGAGGTTAAAGATGTAGTGGAACTTTGCTGGAGTTGGAAGCATCTTGACCTTCGTCAGCTGCCACAGTTGTCGAGTAAGAGAAACCAGACCTGGAATAATGTTTCTCACTTCATCACTGAAGCTTCGAGCTGCACAGAAATGACCTTCCCCAATGACACCTGGAAAAAATAAAATAAAATTCAAATAGTCAAAGAACATAAACCACATAAACCGCAAAGGGCAGGCCTTTATTATCTACATTTCTGATATTTTTGCAGTGTGTGCATTTTGTAATAGAAGTGTTTTAATTTATTGAATTTCCATCATCATCAACATTATTGTCAAGCCCCTGTACATATGTTGATAAATAAATTATTTTCTTACCAAAAATCTTGTCAATGGATGTATTGGAGGGTAAAGTGCAGTTAAAAATAGAGAACTGTCTTTTTAGTCTCTGGGGAATGTCGTTGCGTCCTCCTCCAGGATGAATCATTGCTGCCAAAAACTGGATGTCTACAATACTGGTAAACTCTCCGGGCTTTTCTAAATTGTAAAATCCATTCTGCTCCATCAGCTGTCGCACAATCTCATTTGTCACCTATTATTTTTGGCAGAAGTAAGCACACAGTTTACATTTCCAACAACTTAAACTGGGATAATGAAAAGAAGGCATCAAACGACATTAGAAAACAAAATATTCCAAAATCAATTGTCATTTTCATGGAATCACAAACACAAAATGCTGTTGTGCAGAACCATTAATTTTATATCACTAACTCATAAATCTGAATAATTACTCAATCAAATAGAATTACTCAATAGCTTGATTCTACCTGATCTCCCCACTCATTGATAACAGGCATGTTGATGTCATCAATGAAAACTGTCATCTTCTTTCCTGCAGGAGGTCCATACGTACTGCCCATTCTCTTGTCCACATAGCTCTCAACAGATCTCTATTAAACAAAATAAAACTCACCAAAAGGCAGAATAAACATTTTAGTGCACCTCTGTCTATTGGGAGGTCATAACTTTTAATCAGCCATGTTTATGAGACGTATTCATAGATGCAGGATAATTAAACGAACAGTACCTGAAACATTAGTGGAGTAGTAGCTGAAGAAAAATTGAGGGTCTTGCTTATGTGTGTCTCTGGGTCGCTTTTTGAAACATAGCTCTTTATCATTACAGTTTTGGCCGTTCCCTGTTCTCCAATCAACAGCACAGCCTGAAACGTACATTTGTATTTGACAAAGATAAATACAATAAAATAAAAAATACAATAAACATTTAAGTAATGCATGATTATTAAACTTGAGTTTGTGTATTGCAGCTCTCACCTTGCCCTGTTTGGCGACAGTCTGAATAAGGAAGTCTGTCCTGACGTTGTCCACGTTGGGGACGAGAATGGAGCTGTACTCTGGGGTAATGTCAGTGGGATAGATATACTCATCCACTCTGGAGTCCCAGTGGACCCAGTGACCTGTCAGAGAAATATTATTTATTAGCTGTGAATAGGGCTGATGATCGTTAAAAGCTTGCAGATACAGTAGAATACATAACTATCTAGATACAAGAGGCTTTCAACTCGATGTTATTTCTTTATATTGTATATTGCATCAGAAAGAAATAAAGACTTTTTGGCCCTTACTTAATGCTCCATTTCAAATAAAAAAAAACATCATTGAGGTTTTCATTTTTCAAGTATTGAAGATGGCGAGAGAAGCTCAGTTGGTAGAGCACTGGCCTTTAGGGGTTTGAGCCCACCATAAGACCTACTTCACGACTCCCACTGAGGACTGCTGTTGTTGTGTCCTTGGGCAAGACACTTAACCCCACTTTGCCTAAAGCCCCCGCTGAAAGATCTCAGCTCCTGTGCTCACCACCTGCAGGGGGATCAGTGAGGTGCTGGTGCTCTGTGTGCTGGGTGCGGCTCTGACTGCCACCCCCCAACCCAGAAATGGATTGAGGGGAAGAAAATGGATGGATGGAAGTATTGAAGATGACATTACACTGACTATTACTGCTCTCTCTGCTCTGGAGAGCAGTTTCAGTGACAGACTACTTCACCCTCGCTGTGTGAAGGAGAGGTTCCGTAGGTCTTTCCTTCCTGCTGCTGTCAGACTGTACAATAAGAACTGCTGAGCCTGTAAATTTCATTAATCTGTAATTAAGTAAATTCTTAAATCATGTCCAATGTGCAATACTGCAACTTCAGGATGTCACAGAACAATGTCACTTTACCTCATGTCACTTTACTTATATACGTTTTATCCTGCACTATTTAACTGTACAGTATATAACTGCACTACTACATATTTATTTTTTGACTGGTATTGAAGCATTTTCAGCATCTACAGCTAGTTATGTTAGCTAAGAAACATAGCTACTACTTATTTGTATATAGTGTATATATTGTGTGTGATCCCTGTGTGCTCTTACTACTGTCCTATATGTGCGATGCAACATCGAAATTTCCCCACTGTGGGATGAATAAAGGAATTCTTATCTTATCTTATCTTATTACACAATATGAAAATCTATAAATTAAATAAAGTGATGACAGGCCACAATAGCTGATTTAAGGGATTCCATGTGTCCCCAGTGGTTTGTACGACATACAACCTCTGAGCAAATCTAATGTTTTAGCAATTTCAGCGAAAACAGCAATTTTGGTGCTAATCAGACAATGTTTAGGTCAGAGGCGTCCTAAAGGTGGCGATATAGAGTTTGTAGCAGGCCATTTATTTATGCAATTTTTCTTAGGCGAAAATTACATCAAATGTTGTTTAATCTACCAGTATCGAGGTCAGTGCATACATGTCATACACAATACTGAAAGTTGTGGTTATATGTGGTTGCCTTAGTCCTCAAAAAACAACATTTCACAAATACCAAACTCAGTGACGTAGTAGTCGAATATGGTGTCTTCGCTCTCAGGTGGAATTGCTGGGAGATTCAGAGAGAGGCTATCATTTGCCCGGATCCATAGTTCCATCTTCCTTCGGTCATCGAGTTCAAGTAAAGCCCCAGTACTCCACAGCAGAGAAAATACATAGAACCGCTCTAGGTGCTCTCGGGAAATGTCCCCACACTGTTCCTGGAGATTACACACAGGAATAACAATTAGACATCGACCAGTATATCAATGAAGTAAGTAAGTAAGTAAGTAAGCTTTATTTATATACCGCCTTTCACAGACCAGAGCCACAAAGCGGTTTACAATTGTTATTTTTTGGGCATTTGTCCTCTCACTCCACACAGAGATGGGAGCGGGGTCCCATGATGAAGTTCTTCTCATATAGCCATATTCAGGGCTGGACTGGGACAAAAAAACGGCCCGGGCATTTTTTCCTTCTTACCGGCCCAGGCATGTTTTTGTCACGTTTTTTACAGTTTGTTTATACCAGGGATCGGCAACTCAAAAGGTTCAAAGAGCCATATTTGACAAAAAATACTAAAAACATCTGTCTGGAGCCGCAAAAAAATTACAGCCTTGTATAAAGCTTATATGAAGGTTACACAATGTAGCTACATTAGCTACATTAGCCTAATATCTAAATGACCAAGTAAAGGCTACAAATACATGATTAGCATTTATGATTGTCAAATGTGTGTTTTCACTGCAGCGTGTCCTGGAGAGAATGACGTACCACGTGATGACTCTGCTTTAACTTTGACTTCAATTTTTTTGCCTTCATGCAACTGTAGAAATACAGTAAATAAATCTGCTTTTTGGCTCAAAGGTCACACACCTGCACTGTCCGCTCATATCGATTACTGTACGTCACAGGCTGAAGTTTGCTGGAGCTGAATGTCCTTAATGGCCTTTTTCTTCACAGTCTTTGCGGAGGTTTTTGAAGTCTGAAAAAGGTGCTCCGGATTTTGTATGAAAGAATCCTTCACGTAATCCCTGTGAACGGTATTTAGTGCTTCATTGTTCCTCGTGTTGCAACAAAACTTCCTATTACATCGCAAACATGAAGCAGTCCTTCCTCATTGACTGAAAGCAAATGTTCAGTCTTGTTCTTAGTCCAGTCTTATTATCGACTCGTTCTCTTTTTATCTTTGGGATCCGTGCGCACACGCCGGTTTGTTTACAGCAGCGGCCGTCTGCCGCGGGGCCGCGCCACAGGATATGACTCACTACGTTGACAGAAATGTTGAAATTGAATATTACTTATACACATTTTTACAGCATTGAAATACGTTAGGAATGTTTTTCCTCCTACAGAAACCACATTCAAACTAGGAATAAAATATAGCCCTCCCACTCCATTTTTTAAAAGGCTCCAGGAGCCACTGGAGGAGCACTAAAGGTTGCCGACCCCTGGTTTATACAGTATGTGGAAGCATACTGTAGAGGATCAGGATGTCTACAGTTTCAACAAAAAAATAGTCTACATTAAACAGTAGTAGAGTAATAAACATGTCTCAGAGTGAGGGAGGTGGACGCAGACAACACTGTTGTTTGTTACAGGGATGAGAATTGGTAAACATTTCTGAAATGCATATTGTCAGCCATTAGCTGGCTCTAAATCTGTTTAATTTTTTCACAACATTTTACTTTTGGGCTCAAACATGAACTTTTAATGCAATGGAAAATTTAGGCACCCGAGCTTTAATTTAGTCGCGCTTCGAGAGGAGAGGGGAGACGCGGACTGTTTCCTGCAGCAGTGTATTTATTGGGTGCACAAATTACGCAAAGACACGCATGGTCCTGTGCGCGTTTATGGTCTTGGGTATATGGTCACGTTGCGGCTACGCGCTCACCGTGTTGTGTTGTGAGCGGCTCCCGGTGAGCGGTTCCCGCGTCCAGCTCAGAGCCGCTGGATGCCGGAACACTGCGGCCGTTGAGGTGGTGGAATCCCGTTCCAGTACATACAGCAGGTGCCCCGCGGACACGCGCGCTCCCCTCAAACCCTTCTCAACGGATTTACACTTTTCACAAACATCTTTTTTGTATGAGGCAAACAGACCGGCCCAAATATGGGCATCGGCCCTTCTGGCATTGCCCGGTACGCCCGATGGCCAGTCCAGCCCTGGCCATATTCTACCATGGCATGTTATACCTCATTCTCAGGAATTCTCTTCACTCCAATCAATGACGCCAAAACAAAACCATTTTTTGTTCAAACTCTAATGTGTGTGTGTGTGTGTGTGTGTGTGTGTGTGTGGTTGTGTGTGGTTGTGTGCGTGTGTGTGTAGAGATGGCAGGGATGAATGCTTACCCTGGGTGGTATGAGTCCCTGCAGCATGTTGATGCACTGCATGATGACAAAAGCCTCCAACATGTCCATTTTGAACTCCAGAGATTGCACACTGAAGCGAAAAAGCTCCGAAAATGAAGACGCGAACAGTTGCATTAGGATTTCAGCTTCATGGGGCGAGCGTTTCTTCAACCAACTCTGAAAAACAAATTTAAAAGTGCGGTGTTGTAAATTACTTGTTTTGCAAATTCGTTATGATTATTCAAGCTGGGGTAACTAACATTTTTTCCCATAGATAATACATTGTGTATGTCTCAACAGAAAAAGTCTAAATTAGACCACTGCATGCTGGCTTCATTTTAATAGAAAACATGTTATCTTTTGCATACCGGTGATTCTATCTTTTCTTACTTTTCTGTCTGAAAAGCTGTTCTAAAAATGGCACATATGTTAAGAATATATGCATGGGAAATCAAAATTGCTAGTTGCATGGATTTTATTACATAGTTAAAGGTTGTTTGAAAGTTAGGTTACCCAAGGATTAATAATAAAACATTTACACTTAGTTACCTCTAGTATTGGACTCCAGTTAAGAACAGAAGAACTCATGAACACCATCCCATTACGAGATACGGTTGCAGGAGATGCATTGTCAATGTTATGAGGCTCAAAAACTATTTTGCAGTTGGGCGCCATGGGAATACGGTCACCATTGGCCAACGTAAGAGTCCGGTTGTCATCCAAAACCGAGTTGAGGTTCTCTATCCAAATGGCATCCACTGGTCCATCCAGAACTATCCAAATGTGCTCCCCTTAGACGAAAACAAAAGAACAAAATATTCCACAATGCAATTTCCACAATAATAATACATGCATTACGGAACACATTTAAAACTGGAGTACCACACTTTTAGAATACACTGTCCCAACAGAAATAATCATGTTTAAAATGTTTCTTTTTGTGAATAATTCAGACCACAACATACCATCTTTTTCTTATTATAAAACACTAAAGCTCTTTAACTATAGTAATATGATTTTTTTGTACAGTTAATTTGTTGTGGTTTCAAAGTTAGGTAATCTGGCTTTAAGAACTAGCTTTAAACCTATACCTTTCTTTGCCCTTAGTGTTTTTCTCCAAAGTGTGGAGAATATTCCATCAGTCCAGTCATTTGTGGCAACATCAAGACGCCCGAACATCTGAGGTGCAGTGATGGCTTTGGGATTCATGCGCATTTCTCTATGAGGCTGGCCACACTCTAGACAAAATACACAATCATTTATTCCATTCACCTTTCACGAATTATAGTAGTAACAATGTGTGTGTTTGCTTAATGATGGTTCACCTGTCATGGCTCTCATAAGAGTATGTATACACGTGGTCTTTCCGGCCCCACTGGGTCCTAATGCCATCATACCGTGTCGAACTCTCTGCGTCTCAAACAGCTGAATGACCTTTAGCTTCCACGGGGGGTGGCTGATTAAACCTGCCTCCTCAACCTGACAAAAGAAGGTCATATTTTTAAACATGAATAAAAGAACAAGAAAAAATGTTAACTCAACTAAAAGCATCCAGGTAGTTTTACACGGATGGAAAAACTTTATTGACTTCAGGAGCCTGCTGAGTTTTATTAGGTATAGAATTGTACCTGTCTATCAATTGCATCCTCTAGTTCTGGGTAGCCTGCTTTATCAAGATGGATGCCAGGAAAAAGGTCTTCTATCAAACTTAGAAAAAGAGGCTCATCTTCATCAATCTGCCAAACAAAATTATAGAGTCAATTCATGTAAAATGTTTTGGTCTTCCTGTGGTCTTACTCACTCACCAATTTGGAGAGGTTCATATCCCGGAGGACTCTCATGACAATAGTGGACTCAGTGTCAGAAGGGTTAGAGCGTTTAGCTGCACCCAAAGTGCGCAAAACCGACAGGATATTTCTCAAACCAAAGTCATAGTGAACCTGGTAAAACATTTTGCACACATTTATGCTTTAAGGAAATGTTACTTATTATGCATGTACAATCAATTTGACTGACCAATCAAATATATACAGTAGAATAGAAAGTTCCAATGAGTAACCCATTTTACCTGTTGAGAAAGCTGCTCCTCACACAGCTTGTAAAGAGTGAAGAACTTCCGGGCCAGCTCCATGTTGTCAATAAATCCGCAGCTGGCCAGTTTTACTCTAATAATTATTTGTCTATCAGGAACCATCATAGCCACTGAACGGAAGTTGATTTTCAAATTTTCAGGAAGTTCTTGTCTCCCTGCATAACCTGGATTCTATTCATTGAGGATAAAACAGAAATACAGGCATATCCAGATTGTTAACACATATCTTTAAGCTTTGTTAACAGAATAAAATCTTTAAAGTTAAGGGAACTCTCCCTCAGGACTGAAGCCCAGATTCAGAGAGCTGGTCTTTGATTAGTGGGCTGAACTTGCAGTCACTTTCACACACACACACACACACACACACACACACACACACACACACGTACACACACACACCCACACACACACACCCACACACACACACGCACACACACACACCTACACTTACACACACGCACATACGTGCATGCACACATAAGGAAATTGATCTCTAACCTCATCCACCATGAGAAAAGTTATTCCAGTCTAATGACTAGCCTTGGGATTGCCAGTACTCATAATAACCTTACAATTACTGTGTGGGGTCTATCATAATTAAATATACTCATATAAAAGCTCTAGCCACACTTAATAATACAATATCAAACAATATCACCAGAGAGCAGTTTTCTTATTATTCATAGGTTATTGCCGCCGTACCATAGTTAGGAAGAGGCCGAACTCTGGATTCATTTCAATGTTGTCTCCATCAGTGAATATAAAGTTCTTTCGCCTCTCTTTTTTACAGGTGAGCACAATGGCGATCTGTTGTGCTGCTACTGACAGTACTGGGAGGTCAATTCTATTGAACTCGTCAAAACATCCCCAGGATCCAGACTGGGCCAAACCTGGACATGTCGAAAGAAATTTAGATATTCGAAACTGACGGCTTAAGTTAATTGTTTAGCCTTACCTTTAAATATTCTTCCCAAACCTCTAAAGTCCATTTGGTCTGAACAATTGAAAACAACAACATATTTCCCAAGACAGCGACCCATGTCTTTTGTTGTCTCTGTCTTTCCTGAACACAAAGAATTCAACTTCAAATATGAAACCAACAAATAACTTATTGCAAAAGTTTTTGCATGCAAAGAGATTTTTTATGTTATAATTTTAATGATTATGGCTATAGTCCGTTTTCAAAATATCAACATTTTTTGATATGTTAATTCTGCATTTTTTAAAAGCTCAATTAAAATTATCAACAATATAAAGAATAAATGTCTCAGTTTGCACTTAATGAGTCTTTAGTTTCACCTTGTGAGTCGCAGTACAGAAGTAAATGACCTTTTGAATGATATTCTAATCTTCACTTGTAATGTAAAATTAATATAACTGTAAGTTACCTGTTCCTGCTGGACCAGCTGGAGCCCCACCCATACTCATACCAAGAGCCTGCGCGAGGGTAATGTAGCATCTGAAAAATACACACAAGGCAATCTGATCAATGGGAATCAGATTGGCCTAAAAATACTCCTACATTTAAATGAAAGCATTGAATGAAGGTACCTCTGGGGGAAAGAAATATGGTCTATATTAAGATCAGAAGAATAAAAGTTAATAGTTTAGTTCTGCAAATGTCTTGGGTGTGGATAAAATCCAAGCTCAGATCAGATAAAGATTTATGATTTAATCTTTTATGGTAGCAGTATTATTTTCTTGCTTCCATCTTAGTGTGTATTTTCTGTTTACACTTCCACAGAGAAAATAACCTCAACTTTAATAAAAAAGGTAAGCCAGAAAACAATCCAGAAAAAGCCAGTGGGCAATGGGGGATTTTGCGGTAGGCAATAGGGCCGCATGCCACTTCTTGGCACATAAATACGGTGCAGTGTCGGCTGGTCGCTCCCTGCCTGCTGCTGTCCACTCTCGTTTCTCTCCACTTGTCTCTTGCTATTTTCCCTTGTGTCCGCTCATATTTCTCTGTGTGTGGCTGGATATCTGACACAGGTTGTAGCTGAACTTAGATTTGCCTTCTGTCAATCATGTTCATTATGGGTAAAAAGGTAAAACAATACATAATATAACACACTTTTACAATGTCTCTGGTTAGGATAAGCTAGCAGTGTGACAACAGTTAAAGAAGCAAAATATAAAAATCTGGCCAAAGGTGGTACTACACTCTCCCTGACTCAGGTTGCCAGATATGCAGACAAATCCAGCTGGGATCATAAAAACTGAATAGACAAGAGTTTTGTCAACAACAAATTTATAACTAACACCTTTTTTCACAAAGGCCCTGATAGAAATCCTCATTTTATTCCTTGTTTTGTCATTTATGATTTGAGAATCATAACAAGACCGTTTTTAGGACTAAGGCCTATATGTTCCTTTACCAGTGAGATTAGCTCGACGAGGTGAGTTCTGGCAACCCGGATCATGGACTCTCTGATTGGTAAAACAGTGGAGGGTGGGACATCGAAATGAAAACAATAACAAGATTTAGGGGCTGCAAAACTAATTTTGAAATTTGCATATCTCTGCTGAACTACTGTTATCAGTTAAAGAGTTGTTCGCAAAGAGCATGGTTTATTAATGCCTTTTGACGTATTAAGGCCATTTAATGATGACTTGACATGGAAATTGCCTTAAGTCTTAAAGCATTTCTAAGAATATCTAAGGTAATTGACTGTAAATTATGGAAGTTTTTTTTCATGCACTATTATGTATTTGTGTCCTAAAGCACAGGACAAGTATTTTCTGATACAAAATCCACTTATCACTTCTTGTGTTATCAGTCGTCTGTTAAAATCAATGTGTATCTCAAATCTCTGTGTGAATCAAATAATCATTTGCTTCATCCAACCCCTTTTCGAACCAGGTACAAGTTATTTGTCTGTTATGTTGATATATGTAAAAATATATATTGTGCAGGTTAGAAATGAAATAAATAAATAGGTTGACTTCATGTCCATTGAAGATTTCACATGAATAAAACAAAGAAAGAGGAAATATTTTGGATTCTGTATATTCATAAGGTTATTTTTACAGTCAATGTTGTAAAATACCTATCAGTGAGAGGCGTTATAACAAGCCTTTCGGTGCAGCCCAGGAATTCATTCTGGTAGACAAAGCCCACGTCGGTGATGTTGATGACCATCTTGTCCGAGTCCTCATTGAAGTAGAAACGGCACTGCTTCAGCCACTCAAAGTCACTGGCGCTTTTGATATGGAGCCGGCACTGAAGAATAACGACTGAATGTTAAGAATAGGAAATCGAATAGCAGCATTTAGGAAGGATGCAGGAGATGAAAGGGAAAGGAAAAGAGAGGGGAGAAAAGTAGGAGACGTGTGGAAGAAAAACAGGTCATCTGAAAGAAAAAAATGAGCGAAAAACATAGAGAGGAGGACAGCAATCAAAGTCACGACAAGGCATTAAGGGGAGATCAAAACCATCCATTATATCAGGCAGTGATGGAGCTGATCAATCACATGAAAGGCAGTAAACAGCATACTAAATGACTCAATGTGTCAAACAGACAAAATAATGTAAGAAGAGTTAGACCCGACATAAAAGTCACATCCCTAGGCCAGTGAGCATGCTCAGTGTGCACTACAATGTACACCATATGTTTCTCAATTAATCATTGTTGTGGTACACACTTACAAGTTCATCAAATATGTCTCTCTGGTGGACATGGATGGTGATAAGGGTTTCATACTTGGTCCTCTCCACAGTCCCCAGATCTTTAGTGGTCATGTCGATCAGTGTGTTGAGCTGCTCCAAGAAAAGCTGATTGGTTTTGGACATGATGCGGCGGTCATACCTGGCATTGGTCAAAGCCTCCTCCGCATCTCTTGTCCATATCATCTGGATTCCTAACAAGCCAACCTATATCAAGAAAAGTGGTTTAGCGCACTCTGTGTCAATGTCATTATAAAGACATTTGCACTCAATCAAATGAAAAGGCTGACCTGGGCTGGGTAGGAATTAAGAAAATCAATAAGTTGGAAACCAGAGTCTTGTATTGCCAAAGCTGCCTGTCGAATAACTTGGTGCAAAGACCTCTGGGACTCCTTAAGTAAAGAATTAAGCCACACTTCCACATTGCCTTCCGCTGTAACAGGACGCTCTAATTCCACTGTTTCTCCTTCTCGGGAGGACACAGCCAAAATCCGATCATAAACCTAGTGAGGGTAAACAAATTACCAGTTAAAAAGATTTGACACATTTCTGCGTCTCATGATGATAGCTTACCTTATCATGAAATTTAACACTTTTGATGTTGTCAAAGACATTTAGAAGATGAGCCTGGATAGTGTGTGAGTCTGAGGCCTGTCCAAGGATCTCCAAAAGAGCCGGATCAGACACAAAGAAGAAACGTGGAAAGAGCAGTCGTTTTTTCTCCAAATAGCTACAGAAGAGGACATTGTAAAATATTACCTTGGCTCTTTTGTCTTGTTTGAACCACTCATACTTTGATGTGAGTCTGAATAGTTTCTGATAGGTCGTCATACTTACCCTGTAAGTGATTTTTGACAAATTTCGAGCTGTTCGAGAAGGTGAGGCAGTAGCTGTCCCATGGTCTCATCACCCACACACGACTGCACCACATTGGGCATCTCATGAGCTCTCATCATGATCTTCACCCAGGATTTGTCTATGTTAGAGAAACGCTTTGCCTCCTGTAAAATTAATCAAAATTGAATAGGTAATTGTGGGCTATGGTTAATGCAAGCACAATTAAAAGCAAATACATTTCATATGATTTTTACTAACAATTACCTGGCAACAAAACGCTCAAGGCCAAATAGCTGTGTTGGCTAATGCTTATGATTTTATTGGTGATTTTACTCACACAAATTAGCTCACATTTTATCTCTTTGCTACTCAAGCTAGACCCCAAGGAGTGCTCATAATGTCACTTAAAAATCAATAAATGTTGCAGTTAATTACCTTCGGCATCTGTTTAGCTATGTCTCCTCCGACAAACACAGCTTCCAAGTAAATCCAGAGATTTTGCACGGTCATCCAGTTTTCAATAATGTCATTGGTGTTGGACAGATTCTGCACCCATTTCTGAATTTGGGTTTTAAATGGAGTGTTATACCTGTCGGATAAGCATAATACAATGTCAAGAAGTATATTTTTAATGAGACTTCACGTTGACTTCACTAACCTGTTACTCATAAGAGATCCTAACACCATCAGGCTGTCCTCCATGCTAGTGATGATCTCTGAGGTGCTGTCTCCCCTCAACAGCAGCTCCCCACGAGCCTTAAAGTTTGCAAACGTGAACGTCTTGTTGTCCCATTCAGCAATAACCATCTTCAGCTTTTGCTCAATGTCCCGCTCCTTTACTGCACTGATGCAAATATCCTAAAGAGGGACACACCTTTAATGACTCATTGTTAAATATTCCAAATCAGATACCTTAATATTTATCCAACCTCCCCATAAATTAACACATACACTGCATGTACCTCAATTTCCTCTTTATATTTGAGCAAAGGAGCTTCCATAATATTACGTAGTTTGAAAGTTTCAGTCTCCACTTCGAATGGATGCCCTGTCACCTGTTTACAAGTAAATCAAAGAATGAATGAATGAATGAATGAATAGTGAATGAATGAATAGTTTTTATTATTGTGTCTTACATACACACTGTATGCCCAGCCCTAATGGGCTTATAAGACACCAGTAACACCAACAAAAGCACCAGATGCCAGACAATAGGCACACTATACAATACATAAACTTATTTAAACAAACAAGTCTGCCGCCTCAACCAGGCTTTACAAACAAAAGAAGCGTCAAAGAGGTTGACGCATGCATGTTTTAAATCAAAGGGAATTTCAATAATGTTCTACTAATTGTATCTACTTTCTCTCTCACCTCGGTAATTCTCTTCCAGTGACGCGTCATCATAGCTTTATTGCTCATCAGCTCGAGCAGAGGACAGCACTCACTGAATTCATCGATTGTTTTCTTAAGATCCAAGAAGGCCTGCCACTCTTTTAAGGCACGTGGAAGCTTGCGACATCTATTTTTATCACAGAAATTGAAAATCAATATTTTACCAAATAAAAAATAGAGCACAAATAATGCAAACCAATCTGTCAATGTACAAATGCAGGACAGGTCTTGTGCAGCACTGTGCACTGAGCCCTGAATAACACCTCTAAAACTGACAGACTGCATTAACTCCAGCGGAGGAAGCTGCCCTGCCTTTTACGTCACCACAGATTTCCCTGGAGACTCTCACCTCCTCACAGCTTTCCTTTTATACCAACGACAAATAGTTGAACACGGGCTATGTTTTATTTAGAAAAGAACAAAACACACATTCAAGCTACTATAGGATGCAATTACATCAGTGTTTCATTTTGTTATTCTTTTAGCTTGATGTTGGTTAAATCTATTTGATGAATAAGATTGTTTGTTAAATCTTACTATTATTATTATTATATATCTTATTATTATTAAATCTTATTCTTTCTTCTCACATATGTTTCATGTATGTATTAAAGTTTTATGAATTTCTGTTCTCTTTTCTGTTTAGTCTCTTGTCCGTTTCACATTTCTGGCGCCTACAGGGTTAAAATGTGTGCTCTGTATAATGAGTTTTACTGAGCACAAATATAATTACTGAACCATTCCCTATCATATCCTCAATGATTCCTAATTAATACTAACCTTGTTTGAAAATCCAGGAGTTCATTATTGATTCTCTCAATGTGTATGTCTGCCCAGAGGATGTCATGGTAGCCATTGACAGTTTCAATCACATTGTTATACAGTCCATATAACTTTTGCAGTAATGTGAGCTGCTTTCTGATTTCCAGCAGCTGAGGATGCTGGGTGACAGAGAGTCCAAACAGCTCCTCTCCTCCAGTGTAAGTAATGTATTTCCTGAAGAGGTTGTCAAATCGATTCTGTGTATAAATGAAAAGGAATATATATTAAAAGCACACAGCTGATCTATAATAAATGCAGAGGAACAGTGAAGCACCTGAAACATGATCAGTCTATCACTTGCATCTTGTGGAGCCAGACCCACAACCATTGGCCCATCCTGTAAAACACAGAGGGTTAGGGTTAAGGTTAGCTGTTTGTAAAGAACAATAATCAACAGTTGATCAAAGATATATTCCGCGACAGTCCTAAATGTTGTTGTGTTGCCTACATGTTTGTCATTATTAAACTTTTCTTTTACATTGCAACATTTCGTACTTTTTTTTAATTTACTATTATTATTTTCTTATCTTATCTATCTCAATTTAAATTGAAAATTGAAATTGCAACATAAAATTATTTAAAGCTCATTAAATACAAAGTGAGATAAATCCATCTTTTATTTGTTATATTGTTGATAACTGCCTCACAGCTGTAAAAAAAATAAATAAAAAAAAACTCAGAAAATTAGTATGTTTTGAAAATGATGATTATGATTATAGACATACTCATCAAAATGATCACAAACCAAGAATATTTTACTTGCACCTGCATCATATTGGTTTCACATGTTAGGTTGAATTGCAGAAATAAATGTACTATTGAACAATATTAACATTTAAGTAATACATGCAAGCAGCTGGACCACTTCATTAAAATGGGTCACCACCAGATGAGGAATACAATTTTAAAGTAAGTTTGCATCTCAGTCTTGAAATGTTGTTTTACCTTCTGATAATCTTGGTAGAAGTATTGACAGTCTTCCACAAAAGCCTCCACATTACTCAGCAGCTCCCCTCTGAAGTTTGGCTGCAGGGCCACTAACTCATTCTGCACCTCCGTGGTGCGGGAAAGGAGCTTCTCCCAGGTGTATCGCAGCGTATCTACTTTGTCCACTTCTTCTTTTGCCACAGACAACTCAAATTTGTGAAGCATGGCATATGACTCCTGATTGGAAAAAGTAATGTTACGGCATTGATTTTTACAGCACAAAGCCGCAGGGTGGTACAAGCCAGACTGCTTCTTGTAATGAGCCAGACTTGAAACAAATACATGTTTTTCATTATTGGCCAAATCAGACAGGGATTTATATTATTGGATTTAGCGCTGTGCCAAAAAGCAAAAGGTTGCAATCTTAACTTGCAATTATCAAGAACTGAATTTAATCTGACGGACACCAAAGATGTGGAGGATTTGGGGTTTACGAGGGGGGCACCAGTCTTTACTATGACTCACTCATGTGTCCAGTGTTAAAGTTTAGCAAAAAATATGTATTTTCCATAGAAATTATGTTGTTTTAAAAAAATAAATAATGTAGAACTTAATTTGAAAGAAAATTGAGATGGATAGATTACTGTAATATTAGATGACTCTATAAAAAGATGCATAAATAGATTGACTTTACCTCAACAGGCCCAACAAGAAAATCTACAGATATCTGTTGCTCTCGGATCTCCTTCAGCGCTGTCATGGCAATGCGAATGTCATCCAGGTCTTTGATTTGCCGATTTAGTTTCTTTCCTGCTTCATCTACGAAGGTGAAGATCTGCTCCATCTCAGAGCAGTACTTCTTGTTGCAGTTCAAACCGTAGTCCACCATCCAGCTCTTGGTTTCAGCCGTGAGAGACGTCTTCAGATTGGCTACAGTGGGGAAAAAAATGTGAAGGAGAGAAAATTGAAAGAATGGACTTCAGCGTGTTAAAGATCTGAGAAAAAAAGCTGATTTATTTTAACGTATCATGAACCTGTGAACAGGGCTAAAGCTCCGACAGTGATGTATTCAGGCTCAGAAAGGATCTGTGTTTGAAGATCTTTGTAGTAAAGAATTTGACTCTCAAATTCAGACAATAAAGGAGATCCCTGAAGGAATCTAGAATGGATTGAACATATTAACAACATAACATATATTTTATTCACATTCAACCCCAGTTTATACGACATCACATTAATTGTGCACAGTGTCATACTTCCGCATGGTGTCCTCTCTGTCTTTCCTCCAGATGTGGTGGTAACAGCTGAATCGATCCAAGGCAGTGTTCACTTCCTGGTATACATATTATGATAAATACAAAAGTTGAAAGCCTGTATATAACTGACACTACATATCCAGGTGAAACTGAAAATGACAATATTTTTATAGGAAATTATTTTTGTTTTGGTGATTTTTTTTAAAATTAGAATACCGTTCAAAAGTTGAATTAGTTAATCATATATTAGTTTCAGATTCTAAATTGAATAGACTTTTGAATGATATTCCCATTTCCGGAGTTTCATCTGTTTCACCACAATATAACAAATAATGTGCACCTTTTTAGTACAACTGATGGAGGAGCTGAGAACCGATACTAGTTTCACAATTTCCTTGTTTTCTGACACACTCTTGTAGTAGTTTCGAGCTTGCACTGGGATGGTTTGTACTACTCCTGCGGATATATCTGAAGCACTTCCATCTGTTGTTGCAAAATAATTGGAATAATTTATGAAAAATGGGAAATGCAAACAACAGCTTTGTTTTATTCATAAACACTGTACCAGCTTGACTCCGGTGGGTTCCTGCTCCATCTTCTGATTCACTTTCGGAGCTTTCTTGCTTCAAACCTGCCAGTCGTCGTTCATTCATTTTTTTCTTTAGAAAGACCATTAATAGATGTTTAAATTGATGGGAAAATTGGCAGTTTTGTGAACATGTCCATGACGTTAGTGCACTCACTTTGGATATCCGCTCTCTGCTCCACTGGCCCACACCTTTACTCACACAAACCACACACTCCACCACTCTGTTCAGACTCTGCTGCACATCCTCGAGAGTCGGCACCATTGCAATATTTGGGATGGAGAGAGCCACATTCACTCTGAAGATTGCAGGCTGAACTCGGGTCTTTGTGAAACTAAATGATTCATTCTCAGCTAAAGTAGAAAAAACAGCAGAGGTATGAAGAACAGTAACCTTCTGTATGAAAGCAACCAGTCAATGGAAAAATAAAGCATTCTGAAGTTATTTCACTTACTCATAAAATGTCCTTGGGAAGAGTGAATGCGTTTCCGCAACGTCTCTAAAGTATTGCGTGTGAGTCTGAGTAAGGCATCCACATTACGATGGTTAAAATAAGAGAGCAGTTCTTTTGCCTCCTCTTCCATGATTTCAATTAAGTCTCTCTTTTTCTTTTTCCTCATAAGGGGAGATGAGAGGCCTACACTTGGAGGGGGCATCAAAGTGTTTCTGGACACAAGACGACCTTCTGAATGGGGTTCATCTTGACCTAAGATAAACGTGTGTGTTTATTATCCGATTGCCTATTTATAAGACAACGTAATTAGCATGTGGACAGACTAATGAATATGAATGTTACCTTCAATGGCTGTGTGTTCTACTGGCTTATGTTCGAGAGAATTTTCTTCTTCAGATTTCTCCACCTCGTCTCTTTGATTGTTGTCAAACTCCATCAGCATGTTAATAAGTTCATTGGCTGCCTCCTCCACTAGTGAACTCTTTGTATGCAGTATCTGAGCTTGCTTTTTACACAGGTCCTGTAGAGAATGTAAGGAATGATTGTCAACATCTTGCTTGTAGGTGGAGATAAATGTATAATACTAGAATGTGGAATATTCCAGGTGAAGCAATGGCAGCTTTATGACATCAGATATTATAGTTTAAAAGAACAGAGGGAGTGGGTGCTACTAGGGCGTGGAAGTGAAAAAAATATAACAATAACTCAGTTGGTCTTAAATGATAAAGCCAAGCAACTTAAGGAATCAGGTCAAAACCAACACAAATACCAGATAACTCTGACTCTGGGGACTCTGGGAAGTCCTTTATTTTTTTTTAAAATGGTCAAGGCAAAACCAAGCGCCTTCCAGCTTTTTTAAACACATTTTGCCCTGGCGAAGACACACTCATTGTCCATGTTTTGAATAAAGAACATTTACGTTTCCTTCAGTGTGCCTCAAATCAATTGCTTCACTACCAATCACAGAATTTGTTAAGTTTTGCTCCGTTTAGACCTGTTTCCCATTGTTATAATAGTATTGTGGCTTTAAAGGTGCACTGTGTAGCTTTTGGAGACTCCTCCAGCTCTCATAGACATTGTCTATGACAACAATTCAAAAATATTTGTTAACTTGTTTGTTCATTTGGAACAACTGTAAAAATTACACTGAGTACCTTTAATAATCATAAATGTGTTAGTTTTCAATAATGATAATGATGAAATGAATGAATAAGGATTTGGCATTAGTCGTGGTTAGAAGGGCTATTTTCTCAGTTGCATAACCACGTTTCTGCCCCTACCACCACCATGTACAAAGTGAATCAATAATGCTGTTATGTTAAGAGCGTCTTTGTACAGAAATGCGTAATACAAAACTGATGGATTATTCTTATAATTTATGTAGTATGAGTGAGCACCTTGGCCAATAAAACACATTCTGTAATACGAGAGATGATAACGGCGTGTTTACCCTTGTTGTCTGAACAAACTCGTCGCAGGTAACAGGCTCATCCTCAGGCAGCATACACAGTGTGGCAGCACTCATCTCCTGCAGAACGGCATCAATCCGAAACTCCACCAAGTCATTTATGCGGTCCATCAGCAGCTCTAAGTCCTCTGGAGAGAAGACAGGACCCCAGCAGATGGAAATAATATGGAGATGGAAAAGATATGGAGAAGAACGTAGAGGGCGGCACATATCAAATTCAGCTATACAGAATCGTAACTATACATATTTGTATCACTAGGGTCTTTACCTAGGGATTTTTCAATGCGAGAAAGGTACTTGTCTATAGTTAGAGATGTCCAGTTGAGAGTTGTCAGACCCGGTAATATAGCATCATCCACCTGCAGGAGTTAAAATATTTACGGATTGATTTGGTAATTGTGAATACCAATTAATCCATGAATAATCACAAATAAATATTTAGGGTTTATAATTTCTGTGGAAAATAAAAATGATTTGAGGTCAAACAAAAAACATCTTACTTTAGCAACATGTGGGGTAGTGAGTTGTTCAAAGACGCTACGAATCTTCGCCCGTACTCTAGTATTCTCGCGCAACATAAACTGAAACATCAACATGTTATAGTTCATTTAGGATACAAAAATTTAAAAGTCAAAACACGTCATACTCTTCAATGCATTAGAACGTACCTGTAAGTAATCGTAGTTCTTTTTTAAACTGTCTTGTTTTTGCAGCAGCACAGACGCAAACGGTGGGATCTCCAAATTCATTCTCTTCATGCAGTTTGTCTCTCTGATCTGAGTGAGGATTTCAGGGTCCAGGTTCACAAAGAGCTCTCCCGTGGCCTGAGATCTGACCAGGAGAGACACCTGGAGACCGGCTCTGGCAGCCTCCATCTTTATGAGAGAAGGTAGGATATAAAGGGGATATTCAATTTCAGATTCAGATTCATTTATTTGCCATTTGCAGTAAAACCACATTGGAAAAACTGTGCAAGACTACCCCGGTGTGCACCAGACAGAGAAGACGACACACACCAGGCGCCATACAATATCAAAATGCGCCATTTTGATATTGTATTCCAAATCCAAACATATCACTACGTTCTACTCATTACATTTTGAAATGACAAACGGTAGCTGCTTGCAGAAAGCAAAAAAAAACGTGAAAACAAATATGTATTTTTTACATATTTATTATGTTATTTATTAATTGTGGTGAGCCGCCCTTCTCTGTTTATACTATTTGTCTTAAGTTCTACATTTTTTGTTTATTGTCATATTCTCTGTCAGTATGAAACATATTGAAAAATATTACATGTTGACTGACAGAGAATATGACAATAAAAAACAGGTAAAACAGAATATAATGTTTTTTTCAGTGCAAGCTAAGTACTATAATACTGAGGTCCGGTAATAATGTTGATACTTTTACTTTCACCGGGCTTGATTCTTAGACTAAAATCTAAATCTCAACCTAAGACGGGTACTTTAGCTACATCTGTATGCAACAGTGAATGCAAGTTCCTTTACAATACCCTTTTTTTTCTTTTTACTTGTACCTTTTTCATCCAGCTTTGATGATAAAGTATTTCAAACTCCAACAGCACCCGTGCCACTCTGTTGTAGTTTTTGATTATTCGTTTTGCCTCAACAGTGGAAAGGACACCTGGATGCTGCACCGCAATGGAATAACAACATTAATGTTTTAGTGCCTCATAAATATATATAAAGGTTTATTTTCTGACCTGTTGAAAGAGGTCCATCGGGCCCTGGATCCTGCTATACAGTTGTCGTGCCCACATAATTCGTCCGGCTACAGGTGGGAGATCTCTACCGATTGGGGGGTCGAGTTTTTGTTTAATGTAAATACGTGATATCATTTCAATGTCTCGGCCATAACTTTGGAGAATGCGCTGGTACTTGTCATCAATGCCAAGATCAGGAATGCCTAGTCTGTAGGATGATGAGAATGTTATTCAAGTGCAAATAACTCTAATCATAAGAGCAACAATCACAGACAAATTCATGGAGAAAAAGTGAATAGTTTTACCTCTCAAATTTCTTCAGCACTGCTATTGCTCTCTCTGTGTTTTGGATTTTCTCAAAAGTGCCATCCATAAAACTCTTGAGGTCATTCTTTTAAAGACACAAGCGTTGTCAGCAGTTTAGTTTTGTCTTTGCTGGAAGTTGGAAATGTTTCACTTACATGAAGCTCCATAATACTTTTGCAGAAATCCTCATAGTCGGTGTCAAAGTCAGTTCGTCTGTGGTCCAGAAAACTGTAATGTTTTTTCCTCATGTTCTGGACAATAGCCTATTTCAAAAAGAATAATCAGTGTAAAATATGTATAGTCTGCTTTTTGTTTTTACTTTAAGATGAGACACCTGAAAGTAATAAAGCACTAAACAGGAAACACAGTAATGTGTCACATTAAATGCACTGGATGATGAAAGTGTTAAAACACGCAGGAGTCATGGAAATATGGAGCTAATGAAATGAGAAGCAAATGTTACTTCATGTTGTTTCATCCATGAAGTGAAGCATTCAAAGTTAAAGTTTTGTAAGACCATGCATTTAATGGATATTTCAAATGTTGTACACATTACCTCACATTTCCCCTGCATTTCTGCAGTCTTCATTCCATAAAAAGAATAAATCATATTTTTTACATTTTCAGGTAATAATATATTTAACATTGTGACTAACTATATTGTGACTTTTTAAACAATAACATGTATAAATAAATGTGTAAATGTGTAAATTCACCATGTTTAACCAACCTGATTCCTTGTAGCCATTGTCTCCAGTCCCTCAATCTTAGAGTCTTGTAAAACAGAGTAGATTGAAATGGTGGTAAACATATCCAGGATCTTGTTGAGCCGCTTTTGGAATGAGTCAAACTTCCCAAAAATATACATCTCACTGAAGTCAAACTGCCTCTCTGTTGGAGTCTGCTGTAACTTCTGTTTTGTCTTCTGGTAGCACTGTTGGTATTCCTTTAGTGGGAAGCAAAAAAAGGCACCAGCTTTACCTAAAATACATTTTATGCATATTAAATATGTACTTTTATATACCTTGTTTAAAGAGATGGACGCTCTGATTTTCTCAGCCACTTGTTCTTGAGGCTGGTCCCATATTGTATTAGACCCATTATTTGTAATATAAGCCTTGCATGATGTGATCATCTGATTTGTCACCTAAAAGTCAACAAAGAGCAGTTTATACATCAGTAAGATGGAGAGAGGCTGAAGTACTGAAGCTAATCTACAAATGATCGGATCAGAAGACTCTACAAACTCCAGTGGTTCGTTGAATAGTTGCAGATGAATTATGAAGGTTAATCTAACATTATTTGCTTAATGAAAATGAACAGCCATTTTTGTTTCATGCCCACTCACCTTTACAAAGATGGAAGTTATCTTTTCTGGAGTATTGTAGTAGCGAGAAATGTTGTGAATCATTCGAATGGCATTAATTAAACTGGGTATTGCATCCACCATTGTAACCTAATGAGAGAAGAGATCAAAGTGCTGTTCAAGAGTGTGATTTATATGTAAATGTATGTAAACAAGGTGTAAGTCTTACAGGGTCACTGTTATAAAGGGGATCACAAAACTTCTCCAGGCTGTAAAGGTATTTCACATTGTCTTTTGCCTCATTAGCTGCATCAGTAATCCTGATGTCAAGTTCACGCCAAGTCTATAAAAAGAATTACATCATTTTAAATGCCACACAGTCAACAGTCAAATATAACACAAGAAAGAAAAAAAAAACTGCACTACTATATAAAATCAATATTTAATCTATATATGATTTGTTTGAATTTTCATAAAATATATATGGGTTTACAAAGTAATGCATTATTCAGTTCCTCCACACTCAGCAGTCAAATTCAGCTGTAGCCGCAGCCTCCTTAGGGTTGACTGACATTAGTTGAGCTATATCGGACCCAATTGTTAAATGAGAATACACAATTTCAGTTGTAAATGTTACCTTGATGAGTTTTGACTTTGCAAGCAGAAGGACCCCCAAAGAAGCTCTGACATCAGGACTCTTTAGCTGATCCAAAAGGTAATTGAACCGCGACATCCTTCTCTTCCAGTAGTCCAGTTCAGCACGAGGACCAAGATCATCTGCCTCCTTTCGTAACTGATCACTCTCAGTTAGAACCTAGAAATGGTAGATCGGAATAACAGTCTGCAGAAGTAGCTTATATAAAAGACATTTGGGATCTAACCTGTTTCTTGCATTTTATAATATCTTTGCGAAAGGATTTTGTGTCATAACAAAGTTATGTCACTGCACAAGTGACATCATGTTTAAAAGCAGAGGAAATTAGTGCTAATGCCAATTTATGCTAAGAACTAGAAAAACAATGCCACAGATATAGTTTCCATGTCCCGTTTGAGACCTGGACATCAACTACAGACATTACTATGAATCCCTTTCTTAACCCTTCTCAATATTATGTCTTTGTAATTTACCAGTTCAATTTGCTTGATCCAGACTTTCATGCACGCCTCTATCTTGTCTGTGGTGTCGGTGCTGTGAGCGGCTGCCATGTAGTCTGCCGGGGTTGTCATTGCACGCAGGTCAAGTGTGTCACAAGTTATTAAGGTCACCTGGAACACAGCCACACGGCAAACACACATCTTTGGTGAGGTCATTATGACAGATTTGACTTGAATATTTTAATTTTGGCTATTCCCAATAGGCATCTAAAGATACAAAGAAGATAGCAGGGGGATTTTAATCACAATTTATCAATCTTGTTTGGAATATATCTTTCTTTCAATAAAACTGAAATATTGAACTTCCTACAAGAAATACATGCATAGAGTACGATTAATACAATAAAATATTATGTGAGCTACCTTTTCTTGCAGGCTTTCTTGTGCTCCAACCAAAACCTCCACAAAGCTCTCTAATGATGATATGAAGTCATGTTTGACAGTCTGGGCCTGTGCACTGGCCAGCTCTCCCCAGCCATGATTCATCTTTCTCAAAGTAGGGATGAAGACTTCAGAGAGGAGCTGCTCAACACTTTTTAAAAGGCCTCCTTCATTTGTGTCCAAAATGTTGAAGTTTACATCCTAAAATTAAACAGTGTATAATCACACAATGAATGGACATAGACATAAATAACTCGGAGTTGGGATAACAAAAAGCCATAGTATCTATCCTATCAGACCGGTACAACAAACAGGTATCAAAAATAAATGATTTACCTAGATATGTTTGGTGGACTAATGACCAAAGAACATAAACACTTTTCCATTGCATTCTTGTGTTTTATATTTTTCTATAGTATTGACTTTGAAGACCTTTTTTAAACGTGTGAATTGTACTGAAACATTTGCCTCATCCATGCTTTTCTAAAGAACCCTGACAGAATCAACCTCAAGGGGCCTTCAAAAAAAAAAAAAAATGAAAAAAATTTGAAAAATATATAGACAACCAACCCATTAGAAACACATTGAAATCAAAATTTGGAAAGGAATTAAGGAATATGCTAACATATTTCATAAATGTTAGATTGTCAGTACCACATTGAATGTTAAAGCCACTATAGACTACTATTGTTTCGTGTGCAATCAGTGTCGATGCATGCGGCGCCTCTGATCTTTGTGCTTGTAGGTATCACTGGCTCTGACTGATCTCTGGAGGTCATTAGCTCAGGAGCTGACAGCAGGTGATTAAGAAGAATCAATACAGGAACTAACCATGGTATCACTGTGATAATGTCAAACCTCCCATTGTGCCCCCAGCTCTGAAAAAGGAAACTGTCTTTGCCATTACTCACAAACAAAAGGTCCCCAAGAGAGACCGCAGTGAATGGAAGGCAAGCATCCACACGTTAAATGTGGATTTTATGTTTAATTTGCTACTGAATACTACTAGAATTAATTTCATACATTTTCTGAACAGTTTTTTATATTGCCTTTCTATGCACAAAGTGTAATGTTGTTTCAGTAAATCTGGTCCTGGATCACCTAAAATGTAAATAACGCATTTTAGAACGAAAAACAATGCAACAATAACCTAATTATGCAAAAATGCACATAAAGATTATGTCATCAAACACATGCCGTGTGAGAATACTATTTCGAGTAACTGTGTTCAAAATACATTACAAATACATTGATATTTCATATTACGGCAAAACAAAAGAAAACGTATAAAGCATGTATGCGAGTGTGTACAATAGTTGTAATCAAAATCACCACATTTTTACAGTATAATAGTGAAATTGTATTCAGAAAACAGGACTATTTTTGGACCAGGTGACAGAATATATTACACAATAAATTCTGATGCAGATGTTCAGTATTATGTAACTAAATACAACATTTTCAGTTTGATATTAATTAGTTTTTACAGTCCCAATCAAAAGTTTCCATGGTTGGATCTTTACAAGGTTCCAGTTCCAGCTTCAATATGCAGCAAAGACAAAATGGTAGTTAGACAAAAAAATAATTGGGCAAGGGTCAGTTTAATTTTGTTTTCAATGAATTGCTTGCCTTAATTCATGTTGCCTCACTATACAAGATCCAACTGTACAAATATGACTTTGACCACTTATTCCTAAGCTTCTGTGTTGGGACTGTATTCATCATTTTGAGATATATTGCACACCTCTCTACACATGTTATATTTTATGCTAGAGTCATATATAATAAATAAGCGCTGTCTGAGACACAGTGAAAAGTAAAGTTGTGGGCTTGTTGCAGCATTTGCCGGCTGACTCACCCTGTGTATGTTCTCTGAGGTGATTGTTTTCGAAGGGTTAGCTCTGGTGAAGAAGACGCACACTCCATTCAAGGCTACATCTCTGCCGTCTGTCACAAACACTTTCTCCCTCTTGGCGGCACTTGGCTGTGGAACGACAAGAGGCAGCGGCACAGTCTCTGCTGATGCTGCTGAGACAGAAGAACATCAAAAAGTGCCCAAAAACTATCGGGCTGTAGGCAACCAAAGAAATGACTGGTTGTCACTATGATTGTAGCTGACCAAAATGCTTTTTTTTCTGCCCCGAGAACCAATATCAAAACCAAATCTTCAGATAATTTGATCCATACCTATGTGTTGTCTATGTTTTCCCATTGAAAACTATAGACTAAATCAAAACAATCTTGGTTACTTGAACTTTCCTTCTCTTGTATCAATTAGTGGTTGATCGGGCCATATCGATATATTGGTATCGACCGATTAAGCCCCCCCCATGTGGAGTCCTACTTACTGTACTTGGTCTAAACAAAGGACTGTCTGATTGGTTTAGTTTGGTTTGGTTTATTTTGTCAATATTAACTTAAGCAACAGGAAAATTTAATTAGACAAAATCAGTCATTTATCAGGGAGTTCTATCCACCATTTCTCCAATTTGGCTGTTACATAACATGCAGTCCATATTGCACAGTGGAAGCTTTTGCTATTTCTTTTGTTCAATAAACATTTGCTTCAGGCATTTAAACAAAGTTAGGAGTTCAAAATGTTGACAGCAATATGTTTATCTTTTACGGCAAACAAAAGCTAGCCTCTATATTCATGAATGCAGTTATCGGCCTCCTAGACTAATTATATACTGACTAACTATTGTTATAAAACAAATCGGTCGTCCAACAGTGTGAATCATCATTAAGAGAGAACATTTGGGTTTCTGATACATTATTAACCATTGCCAAACTGCCTTAATTCAGCTCCCCCCTTGGAATATATTTAAAAAAATCTATATTCTTTTTTTCAGTTTTGGCCTCTGCCTTAACTTCATGACAACTTCACAGCAAAAACAAAATACCCGCTTGTGAAGGCTCCGTATCTTGATAGTAAAACATAAGATGTGGGAGGCCCTGCGACACAAAGAACTGCTCCATGCGCTCAATCTGAAAACAAATGACAGATAAAGGTGTATTATTAATAAATTAGTTTATTAAAAAAGCAAATTAACAAAAGCGGTGTCATACCTGGTCTCCTTCCAGTATAGCATCTTCCACATCAGATTTCTCCAAGCTCAGGCAGGAAGCTACAATGCTGAAGATGTAGTCATGTCTCCCATCCAGTTGTGCCCGCTTAGCTTCCCGCTCCTCTTTGAGCTTTTGCTGAACACAACATGCGTAGAGTCATTACATACTGCAGTCATGCGTCTAAAATGTTTGTGTTTCATGTTGTGCATTTCAACCCTAAATCTATTTTTCCACATGCAACATTGCGTAGTCCAACAAATGCGGACAAAAGTGTGCTTATTCCGCAGACCTTGGTCCAGGAGGTTGGGACACTAAAATCAACCACAATAAGGTTGCTAAGTGCTGCTGCTTAGTAACACAAGAACAAGGTTGAACAATAAATTAGATGAAACTGGCTGCTTGGTGGCTGATATAAACTCACTCATTTCTCTCTGGAGTCTGGATAAACACTTCTATCAAAAATACTTCCACTGAATTTATATTAAGTTAATTAATTTCCTTATTTTTAACTTCAGTTATTAAAATGCTTTTTGCAAATCAAGAAAGCATTGACACCATGGAAATAACAAAATAAAGCTGCCAAAAACCCCTAACAGAGAATAGACAAGAGACTATGTGCATAAAGGAGCATTTGACAGACAGTTCTAATTAATATAATGACATAAAAATATAAAGCAAATACAAGGAACAAGAAACCTTCTTTGAAAGGGTTTGGACAGTTTCAGAACAAAATTTATCAATTCACTGTTAAAATGACAGATAACATTGACTTGAGAAAACACTGTACAGCTCAACAAGCTGTTTTGTCAGAAAGCCGAAAAGCATATGTTTATTATAAATTATATTCACAGTCTGGTTCCAGGTGTGCACTAGAACTCCGTAGACTTAAAGTCATAAAGTTAAACAATTAATTTTAAATTGATTTGTTTCAAAGAAAACTATTCATCTTACCTGGATTACTTTAGCAATAATTCGTTTCCAGAGTATGTTTCCATACATACTGGTCAATAGTCCTCACACTCCTGACGCAAAGTTGACCATATCTGCTCTTCTCGACATATCACTTTCACATTGTCATGTAGCGGAGCGGACTCCCCCATTTAGAGACCTGCCCTATGGTACTGCAGAATGTACTGTACTGCTTTTTATGTTCTTAAACTTTATCAAAGACATTCATACAGACATTTTACACATATGTGGGCCAAAAATGTCTTACACCTCAAATATATGTTTATATAGCTACACTTATCCTGTTTTGCATAACTGCTCAGCAATAAGAATGTACTTATGGTCAGATATCAATGACCATATTCAGAGCGTTATTCGACAGTCAGCATTGATCAGAAAGTGCAAAAGTATGAAGAATGAAAACATACTGTTGAAATGCACTGGTCATGTTACAGTTTCCTCTCAAAGACCAAATAAGACATAAATGAACTGGGATAACCAACAATGGCAATGGATATGATCAGATGATGAAATACAAGCATTAAGCGCCGCATTTCTACACAAGAGAGGAAGACAAACCTCGAAACTCACTGAAAGATTATAAGATTGTGTATCTCTAAGATCCTGTGTCCTTATTTGCATTCACCTTCTGCAAGCACCAGTTAGATTTCAATACGTGCAGTGTCGTTTCAAATCCTGCCACATCAATCATGAATTACATAGCAGATAACTAAGAAGCCAAGTTGTTGTAACTTCAGAACTCTTGGGTCATCTTACCTTGTTTTGATAGTCTGCTGTAAAATGCAGCATCATTGAAGTTCTTTCACGCTGACACTTCTTTTCAAGGCATTTCCGCTTCTCTAATCAGCTCAGTTTTTCTTTACAATACTGAATTACAGCTTACGACAAAGGCACAGAGACAAAGAATAAGCGGCTTTGCTGCATTTTGGGAGCTATCAGCCTTCTTATTTGCCATGTGAGAAGGTTACTGCCCTGAAATTATGAGAGTGTGTCTCCTAAAGGGGCAATGGTGTCACATGACCACCTGTATGTAAGGTCATTATCAAGTCACCTGCTCAGCTTTCAATTCACAATGACAGTGCAGAGAACTTTGTCTAAAGATCTCTATTAAAAGCTGATAGATGCATAAAACATGAGTGAGGCACATGAAGAAACATGCACTGCAGCAAAAGAAAGCAATAAAGAATGGTTGGCCTAAATAAAACATATTACATTATAAAGAAATACAATGAATGATGCAAATTTGTATTGTATGGTAATTTCACTGGATTACCATACAATATACATTTAAATCATTCAAATGACGCTGTAGCACGCTTTGGTTCTCTAGTCTCACCTACCCATTTCTTAACCTCATTTGGATATTTAAAAATTGCAAATCAAGTTTCAAAGTAGTTATGTGGACAGATAACAAAATGTAATCTATGTGTTCAAAGTGTGAATCAGCTATTCTGATTTGACATCATAAATGTCCGATTGGTTTTCTCACAGAGAGAGCAATTAATTTGAAAGCATTTTGGCTTCTCTCAATGCCATCCTGGAAATGTGAGGCACAACTCTACCCACAGAGATCCCACTCAATGTTTGATATTGAATAAATGATTGTGGGGCTTTGCATTTAAAAGCAGTCTGATAATACATTTTTCACACAGCCATGACGGATTTGCTATGTCGGACTCTCTAGTTGGGAACTACTGTGAAACAGGAGAGTTAGTGTGAATTATAAATGAGAGGCTGTTGAGATCTAAAAGAAACAGAGAAGGAGACAGAAACAGAAGAGGCCCATACTCTCCCTGAGGAGACCCACGCAGACACAAACAAAGCAGCTGTTTGAACCTCACCATCACAGGAAATATCTGTTAAAGCGGCATGAGGAGGATTAAAAATATATACACTGAATCATAAAATCACAAAAGCCCGGAGAGCAGTTGCAAAATTATACAACAGATTTATATTTTCAATACATGCAGTGCAGTACAAGTTACTCTTTTCTACAACTAACTGGAAATAAGGGGCTGTTTTCATGCATATATGTCAAGCATTTGTCCCAACCTACCCATGTCACAATGTTTTGAGAGCTGTGTGAAACCAGAGTGACTTATGGGCATCTACCTAGACACGGAATCGCACCGCTGACCTTCTTGCAGTGAGGCCAGAGGGCTACCCATACCATCGTGCATGTCAGTTTCACAGCTAAAGCCATATTTTTTCTAGGTTAACATTAAAGACATGTTCAAAATGTATTTACAAAAGTTTTATTATGAGGAAATTACCGAGTGAGTAGCACATGGTGGAGAGGAAGTAAAATATCTTTTGATAAATGATTCAAAATTATTTCAACATTTGCTGAAAGCTTATTCAGGTTCCAGGTGTACCATGAATAAATAAAGGATAATAAATGTATTTTTCAGCATTCAGGTAGAAAGCTGAAAATCTAACTTATACAATGTCGTCGTATTTGTGTAGCCTGTTAGATAATTTCAGGCCTACTTTAAAATGTACCCCCCCTCCATATTGCAGCATCCCCATCGGAGGCTTGCGTCTTCCCATGTTTCTGTTCAACGTGTTTAATAGCATACATGTGGCGCCCTCTTGTGGACATACCCACAATCACAACAGTCGCAGATTGATAGTAACTGATTACAATTTGCTAACGAATTCTTAATATTTCAACGCTTCTAATTTGCAAATAAAATGACAATGCGTGGATGCCTTTCGCCTATAGGTCTGCGTTGGATGATTAATAAAAAAAGGGAGCCTAATAAAAAAAGAGGGAAAAAGTCGAGAAACAAGCTGGACTTCGACTTGTAGTAATGACGTTCTCAGATTTTACTTTTAACAAACAACATAAGAAGTCTAACCTGTGTTTCGTTGAATATCTCCGAAGGAGCAGAGATCTGGCCCCTGCTTCTGTATCCCACTTTAGCGGTGCGCGAGTTTAGCGACGTCATGGCGTAAACATTTCCTTGAAGATTTCCCGCGGTTTAATTTCTCGTCATTGATATAGATGTTTTTTTGTTTTTCATTGCAATATTTGGTTTGATGATGGAGTAAAGTGTAGCATCCCACAGAACACGCTCGCGACACAGCGGAAATCACGGTATGTTGTCAGTTTCTATAGTAACAGCGGGGATGGTACACAAGTTAACATATAAAAGTTACTTATTAATAGTGTTCTCGCAAGTACTAGGTTACACAAGCTAGGATTATAATGGACAACAACAGCGAAGGACACTATAGATTCTGATTCATTATGCCAATGTATTTGCCATTTGCAGTAAAACCTCATTGGAATACACATGCAAAAGACCCTCAGTGTACACCAGACCAGACACATATTCTTTTTATGTACAAGCAGTGTTGGGTAAGTTACTTTGATAAAGTTAGTCGTTACAAAGTTGTAACTAACAACTAACTAAGTAGTTCTAAAAAAAAAAAAGCAATTAGTTACCTTACTTTTAGAAAACTTTATGTCAAAAAAAAGAATTGAATCATGTTTATTTGTTTGCTTTATTAAAGTAATTTAAATAAAGGTAAAGTCCAAGTAGGTTGTTCAAAACTGGCTAAACGTCTTAACTATGGACACTTCCTGCTATAGCACTTCTCCAGATGTTTTTCAAATGTTGTTTCTGTCATTTGTTCTATTCAATCCAGAACAAGTGACATCTGCACATTTTAAGAAAATGTTTCTGAAAGGCGGTAGCATCTCTTCTACAACGTACACCTAAGTCTATTTGTTTCCATCTTTGAGGTTTTCTGACAGCATCATTCAAGTCGCTGATAATTGTGACTGTGGCCACCTCGAACTCAAAGTAATGCTGGTCTCCATGATTGGAATGCTCCGTGGTCGTCCTCGCTATTAGGATGTGAGTTGCCGCTTGTAATATTTGCAGTCTTTATCATGTTTGATGTGGGCGTGTCTGTTCATCACATGCAGCGGTTGCTTCTCTCATACTGTACATCATTCATTTCTTACTCACGAGTTGGCAAGACGACAAAAGTCATCACACTCACGGTTTTGTAACGCAATGTAATGCTGTTTGCTTAGGAGAAAGTAAATGTAATCACACTACTTTTTAGCAGATGTAATCCCTTATTTTACTCGTTACTCAGAATAAATAAATTGGGCGTGTTATTTTTATCGTGTTACTGACCAACAAGAAACAGGAAGAAAAAGATATTTTATTTAAAATAGTTATTTATTATTTACAGGTCTATAAAGGTATCCTACTGCTATAATCAGGGGCTCAATATATACTGTACCTTCTTTCCTAGCGCTAAACTAGCTTGTTCTATCACTAATTTTCACAAGCATGTATTCTCTGGGCTCTTTTACATGTTTAGCTTACAGATATGGTTTAGATCAGCTTTTTCAGACAGATAAGTGGAAAAAGACCACACTTACTCAGCCAATCAGCTCTCAGTCCAAAAAAGTGTTTGTTCACAATTTAAATTCTACAAAACTTTTTCTCTAGAGGGAAACAAAATGTTTGTTTCATTTATTTTCAAATAAAGCAGTACCCCAGCTCAAATGTATTTAGGACAATAATCTTAGTGCTTTGAAGTTTGTGGAAACGTGGGATTTTGCATGACAGACGTCCATATTAGCAGTCATAGTTGTGTTGAATTGTGCATGCCCAGTTGTAAAGGAGACACAAGTCTCAATATGGCTCACATTTTGACAACGTGTGAGTCCTATTGGCGGACTGAGCAGCGACATAGTGGCCCAACACCACCAAAGAATGTTGGTGGTTTTATGTCAAGTTGTTACAGTAACTTTTTTCCACTCTTGCACTATGCAAATGGCAAATAAATGAATCTGAATCTGAATCTGCACTATTTGGGTATAATGTTATGAAGAATATGATCATATTTGTCATTGAATAGATCTTTTTGGATTTTGACAATGTTTGAAGCAGCCTATTCCTAGTGCAGTAATACTTTTCAAATAAATACATCACTAAAATTCACTTGACGAAATGTATTATGAGCTTAACTTGCAATCACCCAGAGATAGCCTCTAGGTGGCACACGTACGCCACATATAATTGGCTAATGACTACCGCAGCTTAGAGATCTAGGTTATCTAGAGGAGAAAATTATCTCATAGACCTGTATGGATCTCTTTGCCCTCATCTCCCCATTATGCAGTAAGTAGTTAAGCACACAGTGATCGATTTTGGTCTAAGTGAGTCTGTGAGATTATGCATCTAATACAAAATGCTGCAGTTCTTACAGCATAATTGCTGAATCAGATCTTAGGGATAAGCAGATGTCTTCTGTATGCTGCCCCTGTTCCAATGACATCATCCATAAAATCTAGATAAGGAATGAAAAATGAGCAGCTACGACTCCCACGTAACCCGCATCAGGACCGCAGTGAGAGGCTGGGGGGCTGTTTGAGATGTGCGCACAATGCACCAATCCCCATCTTCTCCCCTTATCCGAAACGGAATCCCAGGATATCCCACCCACACCCACCCCACGAAACGGAATAGCCCTCCTCTCTCTCGCTTCATCCCCTCCTCTATTACCTCACCGCCCCCCTATCCTGATCCGTCCTTCTCCTCCTCCTCTGCCTCACGTCCCAAACTCTGGAGCGCCGCGCATCGGTCGCCAGGATTTTCCCTTCTCGGCCAAAATGGAGGAGGAGGTCTGTCGCTTATTGAGGGGAGCACAGATTGTATGACCGGATCTGTCTCAATGAAAGCCATCGGGGCCCGGGATTGCTTTTAGATAGGCATTGCAGCAAAGCTATAAAAAAGCCTGTGTGGATTTGTCTCGCTGTTGGTGCGGCCGCAGACATGAGCGCAGCGGAGGGGCTGGAAGAAGCTGCGAAGGACGCCGCAGACCTAGCGGCGTTTTTCAAATCCGGTAAGTCGGTAAAGGGGCGAGTCTGTGTTTGGGAGGCTGTGATAAAAGAGCTGTACGGTGTGATTCTTGGGGGGTTGAATAGCAAACGCTGTACTTGTCTAGATCTAGTGTCATAGACGCATTGACTAGGCGATTACCATGGAGCAAAATCACAGATGAGCTTTAACCACTATCTGTCTGGTGACATGTCATCTTGCAGTCTTTGATGACAACACCTCCCTCGTAATGTGCTTTTGATTATCAGTCATAGTGACCCCATTTTGGCTTGGACCAAGTGAAGGCAAGGTGTGAACACCGCAGCGCTTGTATAATTTTCTCGTTGCTAAAATCTTGATTTATTTTACCCGTGTGCTCTGTATGCGGTAATGCCGCTCCTGTATACATGTAACGACATTGTGCGAGAACGTGACAACGTGCAGCATCCATACCCAGGGAGGCTAGGCCATCATCACATAAGTATGGCCAATGGGTTGCGCTTACGCACTGGGCCCGTCTGATAACGATGGCATCATCATAACAAATAGGCCTGCAGATCCTCCTCACAGAGCACTTATAATGTAACACATTTAATAGATCCCCTCCGCAGGAAGGCTTGGGCCTATCCGAAAAATAATATGGAGGATTGTCTGTTTCTGTTCATTGTTTTGCTTTAAATATTGTAGGTAACACTGGATACTGAAGCAAACCCTATATTGCCAGTGTATGTGTAGCGTTAAATGATTTGGAACTTTGAACAGCATTAACCTATTTATTGTTGTTTGTATAGCCATGGCATATATTCAAGGTTTCAATCACAATATTCTTGACTGAGTACTTCTACAACTTAGAAAAAACCACATGTTTTCATTACATTGTGGCACAGACACCAAGTCTATCGGAAGTGCTGTCACAGTCAAATGTGCAGTGTGCAGAGACTGAGGGCTTGGGTGTCACCACAGTGGAGCGGACCACCACTGATGCTCACCAGAAAGCAGCTGTCCCTCTGGTGCTCAGCTGTTTCTGTTTTCTACACCTGGTGCCATGATTCTGCACTTCCCCATCAGCCTCTTTAAAATACAAGAAAACACTTACACACTTTGTGCAGTTGGTGTATAACAAAAAAAAACAGGTGAGATTACTGGGCCTACATCGTGACTATACCTCTCTGGTCTTTTGCAAGTCTGACAGTGAAGAATGTTGTCAAAAGGGATTGTATTGAAATATGACTGTTTCTCTTACGGTTGGCTTGGCAGTTTGCCTGTGTTTTTTCCTATAGCTGTTTTGTATCAGGCTGGAAAGTTGGCTCTTGGTGTAGTTGGGCTGGATGCTTATATGGCAGCAAATGCAGTTCATACAGTATTCATGATAGATACAGAAATAGCTGGGAGCCTCAGGAAACTTGTATAAGATATAGTATGGAATTATGTTGGGTGGTTTAGTAGTGATTAGGTAAAAGTAAAAAAAGACACTAATATTGAAAACCTAAACAAACCATTTATTATATCACAACACTTTTTACCCATCCAGAAAACATAATTTCTCAATAATTGTTTGAACTTTGTATCCATGGAGCGAGGGGACACTAAACTCAAGACGCTGGCTGGCATGTGCGTTTCATGGTGGTGTTCTATCTTCTTTCTATATAATTATAATCTCATGAATCTGTGGCCATGTGAAAGCATGTGAAAGCCTGATCTTCCATGAGCCTGGAGTCTAATCTCAGAAAGCTTGCCATTGTGTCCTCAGGCAAGACACTTCACCCATATGAGTCTAGTGTGTGACTCTAAGGGTAACCATGACCAGTATCACATGCTCTGATAAATGCCATGTGAATGTCCAAAAAGGTAGTATATAAGATTAGATAAGATAAACCTTTATTCGTCTCACAGTGGAGAAATTTCAGTGTCATTGTTGCGCACATTACAGCAGAGAAAGAAGGAAATAAGAGCACTCAGATTGCACACATCAAATAAGTCCTTTATTTAAGATAATAGACAATAAAATTAAGATAAAGAATATCATAAAATAAGATAAACTCTGGGGCTATAATTGCACTTGGTTCAGAAGTATTTACAGATGTCTATATTGTACTTAAGCA